ATGAAGACTTCCCATAGACATTCATTTTCCCATGTGAGGTGAATGAAAATGTGCCATTATCAACCATGATTTACATACACTGCATAGACCTGTTTGATTAAATGTGATTTGATGTTAGACAATGAGATTGGCCCATCTGATTTCACACGACACATACAATAATAATCTGACCTCAAAGTGCAAAGTAGAGACACGGACACTGTTTGAATCCTCCAGAATTATGAATCATTCATCATTCTAACATCTGCTCAGTCACAGAAATGTCTTGGTTGCGTATGCTACCCTCTCTTCCCTGAAGGAGGGAATGGAGGACGTAGTCGGCGGTCGACTGAATGGGGATCGTGTCAGAGAACCAATGTTCTTCGAGTACTATTGAACAAGCCAAATGGAATTGGCGTGCGTGATTTGCGTCACAAACTCCGGCCCTGATGCGCGGGTATAAATACGGAAGTGGATGCACGCACTAGTTGCTTTTTTGCTGTGGAGCCGAGCTTAACCCGGAATCAGCAGTGGTCCAGCGGTAGTGGCAAGGGGACTACGTCCTCCGTTCTCTTCTTCAGGGCAACCAGGACGTTCCCTTTCAGTCGATAACGTCGGACGTAGTCGACGGTCGACTGAATGGGGATAACTTTTGAAAACGCCACTAAAGCTGCCGCCTTCCAGTGCCTAGATGAAAGCCTCCTGATGCCCCCGCAATTTTAAGATGGTGAAGGACAGGGCTTAGGCCAGGGAAGTCACTGCTGTTCCTACAGGACCAATGGGAAAGCGTTCACCGTACATTGGAAGGAAAGCCACATCCAACCCGGAGGGAGTTAACGTGGAGAATACACAAATTACCTGGGCGGATGACCGGGCAGTGTGACATATGGAATGTCACTAGGGTGGATCCAGCCTACGACAGGGGGAGACTCACCAGACAGTGAAGACAGAGCCAACTCTGCCGAGGGAAGACACGGGCTCACCGAAGGGAGCCATATCTTGGAAGAGAACACATATGGGGTCACCATAGGGACCGCAACATATGGACCCAGCCTAACACAGGTTCCACACTGCTTATGAGTGGTAGGCCTAACACCAGACGTTCCGCACGTCCAATGTCGAAGGGGTGTGGAGTAGGGGTGCACGATATATCGAATCAATATCGTTATCGCGATATCACGTTGCTTGATATACATATCGAAAGTCGTGATATTTATGCAATATTTTGTTTATGATGCGTCCATCACCGTTTCATTTCCCCCGATTCATTTCCTGATTCTCCTTCTCCATAAACAACATGAAATCAAGGAGAGGTTTAACTTTTCATGCTACAGATTTCCCACAGTGGTCAGAAAGAACAGGGGAGACACTTTGTTTTTCTCAAGAGTCGCTATTCGCTTCAAAGCTAATCGTCGTCACTGTCACTCTCTCACTTCTCACTTGCTCTACTACCACACAGTCCCCCCCACACACACTTGCCCCGGCCAGCTCGACGCGCACAAGCATAAACATCAGGCCACCTGGCAACTTCATGCGTTTTCACTGATCGGATATCTGATTTATCAAAATACGACCTTCAATTCCCGCGCTATATGCCGATTTAATGGAGTGCACGTACGTCACTGAAAGCAGCAGTTATGGGCTGCATACGATCATCAGGTAAAATAAGATCGTTCATTTACTTTTAATGAACTGTGTGAAAAGCATCTGCGACTTACTTTCATTTTGATTTGCCATAGTTTGCGCGTTGGCATGATGAAGAGATGCTCAGCTGATCTGCGGTGATGCGTGTTGCAGGGCGCGTCTTCATATATGGCCTTAACATGACAAGCCTGTAACGTTCTCATTTTTAACGTTTATGGAAGGAGTACATTTTACATATGTGGTTTATTCAATAACGAGATGCATTTACATGTGTCCAGTTTCGTCTGGAATGCTGCCCAGACCTCCTCCTGAAGTGGTTTGAGCGATTAGATTCAAATACGTCACAAATGCGTTTCACAGGGCATTTACACCTGGTCTTTTCACGATCAGAATATCGTGCACCCCTAGTGTGGAGGAACTCAACAGGATTCAGTTTAAGGGAACTCAACTAGAGTAGGCGCACATATCCAGCCATAGGAGAGGAATGGCACAGCAAGCCGACACTTGAACCGGGCTCATGGTGAAGGGAACCAAGGCTGGACTGGCCATCGGGCATTTCGTGCATTTGCCCGATGGGCCGACGTGCTTTGTGGGCCGGTGGGCCGACGTGCTTTTTGGGCCGATACATCTCAAACTTTAATTTTTTTTTTAACGGCCCATCCAACTCGTGTCAGCGGCTCATTGTGTTTAGTTTAGCGGCCACAGCGCTGGGTTCTTTGTGCCGTTGAAACGCATCAGACAAAAAAGTCAGCGTAGGTCCTTTCTTTATCACAGACAGGCCCATGAAACGGAGATCAGTGGCCCATTGATTATTTTTTTGATTGACACTGGGCTGGTCCAATCACATCTTTTATCACCTACTCCTCTTGGCTGAGCGAGCGTGCAGTGTCAGTGAGTATCTGTCAAAATAGTCAGAGTGAAGGAGAAGAAACGCAAGGAATGTGCAGAGAAATGGCATAAAAAAAAGAAACAGCCTTCAGTGTCTGATGAGGAGTGAGGGGGATCACGAGAGACATTAGTGAGTGTAGAGAACTGTGGTAAGCAGAACTAGGCTACTTTCAGAACACAGGGCAGGCTGTGAGAAGGAACCCATTACTCAGTTACGCATTATTTCCACGTCTGCATATTTGACAATTACGCATTTTACTAGAATTATAATGAGAGTATAAGACCCGTTTGTAAACCATGTTTTCCGCCAAAATAAAAGCTGAATGCCCTTTCCATCAAAATAAAAGTTAATGTGTTTATATATCTTTCAAGTTACAGAAAATTAGTTCTAAGCTAATTATGAAAGTTGTTTTTATTTTTCAGTGCATGTGTTTTACAATATAGCTGTCTATAGCTGTCATGTGATTAATATTATAACTATGATTAATTATGTGGTATGTAATATAGACAGACAATATATCCCAACTAAAAGAGTTTTGAGTTTTTCTTTGTTCAATTTGCGCACTGAATATGGGTTGGAGCTCTTCATTTTGAACTCTCAAAGTGCACCAGATTGATGATTTTAACATTAAAAAGCACAACATTTTCTTACGGGGGAGCATGCCCCCCAACCCCCCTAGAGGGACAAAGGTGCACTGACCAATACTATATAAACATTTTGTGAGAAAGACTGATATTGCCAATGCAATTGGAGAATTGTATTTTAAACTTAGTAGTTATTTCATCTCACTCACTACATGGCGTTGGTGGTTTTAATAGGAGTTGTTGGTATACATATTAAAGGGCGTACACCGTTCAGTTGTGTTTATGTTCATATGTTGTGAGCCAGTCTGGGCCAAAATGCCCGGGCCGATTTTTTGTCCCAGTCCAGCCCTAAAGAGATCCCACAGAAGCAGCGGTTCAAACTAGGTGTTGCCCAGCCCCCAACTCTAGAATCTATCAGCAAAGCACAGAATCTGTCAGAGGAGCTTTATAACACCTAAAAGGACATGAGCCTCTCTGAATTTTACGCCGAATTGAAGGCAGCCACCATCAGTGGAGCAACTTTGCTTGGAAACATCCTTCCCTCTCTGCTGAATCAGAAGAGCTGGTCTGAGGTCTAAGGCTTGTGTTCTGTACACGTCTAACCACTATGAAGTGAACGGACAGAGAAAGCCAGGGCTGGGTGAAGCAGCGCGCCCCGCCCCAAGATACCAATCCTCTAACTGAGACTGCTGGGGACACTGTGGAGTTTCTACTCGAGCCCGGCTGCCTCGGCGGCCCGTTTCAGCATAGCTGACATTTCTGGATCTTGCTCGGGCAATGTTACACTCCCAGAGGGAGATAACACAGCCGAGTCATCATCTTCAGAGGCCAGCTGACCCTCCGATGCTGCCATCGACACCTTATCCTCTGGGGGAACCCCCAATGAAATAGCATATCGGTCCATTACAGAGGGACCAGCATGTTCAACAGGAATTCCATCGGCTGCAGTGTGATGGAGGAGTGAGGAGCCCACTGGGAATGGTTACCGGGCGAGACATCAATCACAATCCTCCGATTACCCATCCCTCACGGCACCCAGGGGTGGGGCATGGTAATGGGGACTTGCGCTTCGTGGACGAAGGCGAGTCTCAATCTCAACACCGCGACAGTCATATTCTCGCAATGAGAACTTGAGCCACCCACAAAAGCTGCCTCACCATGCTGAACATATAAATACGTATACACATAAATATATAGCTCAAACACGTGATGCAACAATTGTGACCGTCAAGGAGGAAAAGGGAACGACCGCATCCAGAAACGCACAGGTGGAATGACATCTTGAAAAAGATTCAAACACACTCTTTCAGGAAATAGGACCCATCACCAGTGCTAGAGCACACAGGAGAATTACTGCGGCAACACTGAACAGTGAACTGAAACAGTAAAGCACTCACTTTGCTGCCCTTTAACCAGCCATCAACACACACAAACCCTTAGAAATTTGTAGCTGTTAAAACAGCAGTTGAGACCTCAAAGCTCACGATCACCGCTAGAACACCAGCTGGTAGAACACCAGCACTGGGAGAGTCTTCCTGAAGAACACCAACACACATTTGCTCTTTGTAAACAACAGGAGTCCTCAGGACACTTCAATACGATCGGCTCTGAAGCGAAAAGCATCTAGTGCGTGCATCCACTTCCGTATTTATACCCGCGCCGCGGGGGCCGAGTGTGTTATGCGAATAACGCACGCCAATTCCATTTGGCTCGTTCAATAGTACTCGAAGAACATTGGCTCTCTGATGCGATCCCCATTCATACTTCCGTCGTTATCAACTGAAAGAGAACATAAGATACATTCCTCATGTTCATCAAACGCTCATGTGTCTTCTTGTGTAATTGAATAATCTTTTCTTGTTTGTCTGTTTGTTTGTTTTTCCTCCTTCTGGTTTGGGAATCAGTGGGAATATGATGACTCAGCTGAACATGTGAGTACATTTGAGAAAATGGATGCATTCAATTCTTCACATTCACTGTATTTCTATATTCCAAACATACACCTTAATTTCTAGATGTTTAATGCTACTTAACCATAACTATCTGAAGACAACATTGGATCTCGCTCATTAAAAATGAATTTTGTGAATAATGACACTTGTATACCTGGATATGTTATCACATAGAAATCATAGTTTATCAATTAATTTGCAGTTAATTAAAAGGACAGCAATCACACATTGTACACCACCAAAAAAATGCAAAGTCACTGAAACATGCAGTGTGTTAATTGAAAATGTGTATGCATAATATTATCATAAGGAATTGAATTGTAAAGACCCAGTAATACTTTCTTAAAAAAAAAAAAAAAAAAAAAACGGTAACACTTGAAGGGGTGTGCATAAGACTGACATGACACTGTCATAAACATGACATAACACCTGTCATGAACATGAAGGAGTCTTTATGAATGTATATGACTTTTGTCATTAAGAGTCATTCGGTAAATTATGACACTTTTAATGCAAAGTTGACATTGTTTAAAATGTCTTTGTTTTGACAACTTGACCTTAACAAAGACAAAAATGTCTTTGTTATGACAACTTGACATTAACAAAGACAAAAAATGTCTTGATTATGACAACTTGACATTAACCAAGAAATCATAACCTGTCACAAATATGTCATAACAGGTCTAATTATCAAACATAATGAAGTTATTTAGCTTTGCGTTAACATTACATTACCCTGTCATATGTGGTTAGTTTTGACTTTGGCCGTCATGTCACAATTATAACTCATGAATATTTTACTTGTCCTCAAGTAAAGTGGAACACATTGTACTAGTTATAAAGATGTCATTAAGGGTTATTACACTACCAAATGCTTTAACAACAGTGTCATTAATATTTCCCCTTACCTCAAGTAAAGTGGAACATGTTGGACTAGTTATTAAGATGTCAGGTTGACAGGTTATAATTTCTTGGTTAATGTCAAGTTGTCATAACTAAGACATTTCAAACAATGTCAACTTTGCTTTAAAAGTGTCATAATTTACTGAATGACACTTAATTACAAAAGTCATAAACATTCATAAAGACTCCTTTATGTTCATGACAGGTGTTATGTCATGTTTATGACAGTGTCATGTCAGTCTTATGCACACCCTTTAAATAAAGTGTTACCAAAATAACTAATTATAGTTGGATCTATGAAATGAGTGATGAATGGCCTTTACATGGATGGATGAAAGACTGTGGTTCTCAACCAGAGGGTCTAGGGCGCAATAGGGGGAGCCTAAAATGATTTAAATTAAGACCAAATATAGTGTAAAATAAACAAAAACTGCTAAAACTCAAGATATAACCATAGTGTCTTTTTTTTAATGAATTCCCCCATTTTAGAACCAGGGTTTCCCCAGAAAACATGGATATGTAAATATCGATATAATCCAAATAATTATAAAAATAATACTATTATAAATATTATTTGGAATATTTATATGATTAATGTATATTGCCTCACATTTCTGTAAATAATAAAGTTAGAAAATGAGCAGGTATTTCTTTATAGAAGTACGGGGGGCCTTCAGATATTATCCTTTACAATATGGGGCCTTGGAGTCAGAAATGTCGAGACTTCCTTACATGTTTATTTAAATTAGCCAATTAGGTGGCAATTAGCACCTACAGACATGCATATGTTTATTTAGAACAATCAAGATTCATGCACATTAGAACAAGGGTAAAGATTTTTTTTTTTGTATTACTGAATGAGACCTAATGTGTACAGATCCATTTTCTTAAAAAAAAAAATTCTTTTTTTTTTTTTTTTGCAGTCAGTGTTAAAAATGTCCTTGTGTTTTTCCAGGAATTAGTCCTCTTTGATTTGCTCGCTGAGACCACATACTCAGTTACTGTTGCCGCTTACACCACCAAGGGTGATGGAGCGCGGAGCAAACCCAAGCTGGTCACCACCACCGGAGCTGGTAGGTTTAGAGCAGTTTCTGTGGACTGTTCCTGTGGACTCTATAGTATTCAGCAGGTCTCTCCATGCACCCATTACCAGTGAATGTCTATAATTGCCCTCGCAGTGGTGAAGGTGATTGTAATTCCACTCACCTGCTCTGACTTTGAAATGCTCGCAGGAATTAAGGAAATAATGGAAAAATCTGTCAGGAAAATAGACTTTTTTACTAGGGCTGGGCAATATTTAAAAAATATTTAATCGATTGTGTGAGACATACAAGCTCGGACAGATTCTGCTTGAAGTCGTTCATCCTCGGATGCGGTGCCGCGTGCGCTGTTCCAAAAATCTTTGCACACAGCTAAGAGAAATGAGGTCTTGCCGGTCTTTTGCACCCAACGCATCATTTTTACCGCGCTCGTGCAGACGCATCGAGTATAAACAAGGCTTTACGCCGTGAAAGCGCGCACTCTGATCGGTAAAGCAGAGACCTCTCCCAATCATGTCCAGCAGAAGCAGCCTCCCTGTTTACCTCGTAAGCTGATATTAGTATTTAAACATTCTCTATGGTATTTATTTAATGACACACTGTCTCGCATTTTGATGTCAAGGTGTCTTTGCCTATTTGTTTTTAGGTCCGATGTCTCTTTTTTTTTTTTTTGTTACCACCTGATTTAATGATGATAAGTTTAGTTTCCTAATTATAACGTGTAGCGTTTTTTTTAAACTTGTATTTGTTATTTGTCTAAAATTAGGGATTAAAAACGAATTATTTCGTTCTGCATGAGCAAAAACTGGTTCACCTTAAAGGGACCAACCCTGCAAGACTTTTTCCAACCCCGCAAGACTTTCGTTCATCTTTGGAACACAAATTAAGATATTTTTGATTAAATATGAGAGCTGGATCACTCCTCCATAGGCTTCTAAGGGATTGAAATTTGCCGGGCCAGAAAAGTCATTAAAGACATTGTTAAAATAGTCCAAGTTACTACAGTGGCTCAATCTTAAGTTTATAAAGCGACGAGAATAATTTTTGGACGTAAAAAAACAAACAAACAAAAATAACGACTTTATTCAACTATGCATTGCCCTCTCTATGATCGTCAACACAGTAAGCATATAACTTTTCTGGGCCTTTCAATCCCTTAGAAGCCTATGAGAGACAGCTCTCAGATTTAATCAAAACTATCTTCATTTGTTTTCCTAAAATGAACGAAAGCCTTACGGGGTTGGAACAACATGAGGGTGATTAATTATTAATTACTGACAGAATTTCCCTTAATGTTTTTTTTTATTATTATTTTATTTCAGCTTTAGTTTTAGTTTAACATTCCAGTTAATATTTTAACTGTTTTATTTAGTTATTTAGATTTTTTTTTGTGTGTGTGTGTGTGTGTGTGTGTGTTTAAATAAGTAATATAATTTTTGTCAATAGTTTCAGTCATAGTTTTAGTAAAATATAATAACAGTTTTTTTCATCTGTCCATCCTCAGTTCCGGAAAAGCCTCGTCTCATGGTGAGTCCGACAAACATGGGCACAGCGCTCCTGCAGTGGCACCCGCCGCCCAACAGCTACGGTCCACTGCAAGGCTATCGCCTCCGATTCGGTCGGAAGGACGTAGAGCCGCTAACGGTGATTGAGTTCTCTGAGCGTGAGAACCACTACACCACCAAAGAGATCCACAAGGGAGCATCCTACACGTTCCGCCTCTCAGCCCGCAATAAGGTGGGATTTGGAGAGGAGACGGTGAAGGAGATCACAACACATGAGGACACACCATCCGGTTACCCACAAGGCATCATAGCTGAAAGTAGCACAACGACCACAATGCAGATCAGCTGGCAGCTGGTTCTGTTAGCCGAGCGCAATGGAGCCATTATCAAATATGCCCTTCAATACAAAGATATCAACAGCCCTCGCAGTCCCTCAGAACTGTTCATCACAGCACCTGAGTCCACCGTCATGCTGGATGGCCTTAAAGCAGACACGACTTACGATATTAAAATGTGTGCCTTCACCAGTAAGGGCCCCGGTCCTTACAGTCCTAGCGTCCAGTTCAGAACCCAACCCGTCAACCAAGGTAGGGGGCTCAAAACACCCTCTCGACGCACGTTTGCCTCCTTCTTCAACCTTTGAGAAAGAGTGTGGTTCTCAGGACCAAATCGAATATAAAAATACCCCTAGCATAACTAGCTCATGTCAAATAGCATCCTATCGAGAGTCAATGGTAAGCGGCAAGGTAAGGTTCTAGTTCTGGCCTAGTCCTCATGAGGTAGCAGGTGAAATGCTTCGCAGGTAAGGATGTTGATGACTAGCTGCCTTCCTAAAAGGTGGTAAGAGAACAGCTCCAGCTCTATGTCTAATTCATCTGCCCCGAATTTCTTTTAGCAGTGTTTGCAAAAAATTTCCACGTAAGAGCTGCCATGAAGACCTCGGTGCTGCTGACGTGGGAGATTCCTGAGAACTACAACCCTGCGCAGCCGTTTACGGTAAGAGACTATGAGAAACATTTAACCTCTAAATGCAGTCTGGAAAACAGTGCAGCCGTTTATGGTAAGAGACTATGTGAAACATTTAACTTCTAAATGCAGTCTGGAAAACAATACATAGCGGGTTAAAAAAAATTTTTCACTTATTTTTTTATGCTATATTATTTCCATACTAAGCACTGTTTTTTAAAGTATGCTAAAGGCACTGTAGTAGTACACAGCTTGATTAATTTCATAATCTTGCCTACTGTATCTTTAGAAGCAGCCTTTGCATTCTTTAAAATGCTATAACATTAATGCTTTGGCGTAATGTGGTTCCTGCCAGATCTTGTATGATAACGGTCAAAGTGTGGAGGTGGATGGGAAGCTGACGCAGAAGCTCATCACCAACCTTCAGCCAGAGACTCAGTATTCATTCCTGCTCACCAACCGTGGGAACAGCGCCGGAGGTCTGCAGCACCGCGTCTCCACCATGACAGCACCTGACATACTTCGCACCAAACCATACCTGATTGGCAAGACCAATTCAGACGGCATGGTCACGGTTGAGCTGCCGACGGTGCAGACAGCAGAGAAAATCAAGTGAGTATCTATCTATCTATCTATCTATCTATCTAATATATATATATATATATATATATATATATATATATATATATATATATATATATATGGTGTTTTATTTATTTATTCATTCATTTATTTATTTTTCTTGGTTTAACCAAAGTGGAGGTTTTTGTGTCATGGCACACAATAGATTGTGGGTTATACAGAAGTTTGTGGAAACCTCAATATGTCGAGGTAGGATGGTCCCAGATCATTGAACAGAAACGAATCTCTAGATCATATTGCAAGGTACATGTGCATGTATAAATATTTTGCTAATTTTTACTGTTTAAACTGTAAGTTTATAATGGGAAGGGTTTAAGTTTTAATTTAAAGTTTTTAGTGTGTGCCTAGATAAGTATACTGTAGCGTGCATGCAGAACAATTTAGGATTGAATAGTGCCTTTATTTAATTTATTTAATAGTGCCTAATTTAACTAGACAATGCCTAATAGTTTAAGAATTGAGACTTGACTTGGACTCGTGGCAAAAGACTTGAGACTTGACTTGAGCTTGCCCCTCAAAGACTTGAGACTTGACTTGGACTATATATATATATATATATGGTCAAATAGGTTATATGGGCCATTGTGAATTGGCTCAAAGTTAGAGTTGGAAACATCTTGAAAAGAAATTTCTTTTTCCATATAAAGAATTATTTTTAAAGTAGGCCATTTACATTTTTTCATACATAGTTCAAAGTTAAGGATTCATTATTTTGATATGTGCATTGCATTAGCTTTCATTGGATAACAGTTGATTAGTTTATTTTTGACAAACTTAAAGATTTAAAGGTACAATATGTTACATATTTTGTTTAGTTGATTACTTACAATATCCCAAATGTTTCCAACTATTTGTAAATCATGAGAAAATTGAGATTATTAACCAAAGGGAACAGGGCGTGTGAGCAGGGGTGAGGAGTCGCCAGTCAATGACGTCATATCCGCGTTACCCCCGGTTTCCGCCAGGTTTGACCTCGTACTGCAATAGTAACCATGGCAACAGACGTGGACAACAGGGTCGGTTATGCCCGTTATGCGTGCTCAACAGCCTTAGCGACCCTAGCAGGGTTTTGTTCAAACATTATGGACAATGCCAAGCAGACTTTGAGACAAACAGAGGACTAAAACAAAGATCAACATGTTTCGAGATGCCGAGAGCTCCACGTCCACGACTAACTTCGATTTGACAGAGACGTGAGTGTTGCATGTTACTTGAGCAAACAGGTGAGCAAATCAATGTATATAAACTAATCAGTGTTATATAGTTCAACATGACGAAAAGTTAGAATATGATCTGTATGTAATTCTCTAATGTTAATCTAGCTTAGTCTCATACAGCCAACAAACAAACATTCAACACACTCAAATGTAGTTTAGTGTGATAGTGAAACTGTTAGAGCAAGGGAAGCAGCGCTGCGTTACCTCAAGTTTAATTCGTCTAATAAACTGACCTGTGTGAGTAATTCATTGTGTAGTTCGGTAGAATTAAATGTCCTTATTCCGTTATATACGCAGGACTTGTGTTGCGTGTGGTGCTGGTATACGTCTAGCAATCACGCACTGTTTCGTACCACAGTCATGTTAAAACATCCATAAAAGATCCATCAGCTTGACGACAAGATCCATAATTCCACTTAATGCGGAATATATGTCATTAATATATGCCTTTGTTATTGTAAGAGGTTAGCGACCCCTGGTGGCGAAACACTGACTACGTTTACATGCAGCCAATAACCCGTTCAAAACCGGGATATTAGCAATAACCCGGTTGCGAACGGCCATGTAAACACCGGCAAAAACCTGAATATGCTCATATCCCATATTTTAAAAACCGGGATATTATACCTGGCGTACCCCTTTTCTAACCCGAATTTTTGGTCATGTAAACGTGTATCAGCATATCCTCATTAGTGATTTGTGTTCTGCGCATGTTCTATTTACAATCTTGGTGAGTAGAGAAACTTCTCGGCGCATTCAAAAATCCGCGTGCAGTATACCGGGAGTAAACATGGCGAGACTGGGCAAGACACAGCACAGCATACTTTTGGAGCGAGGTCAGTAACATTGCCAGCATCAAAGCGCAAACAAAGGCGATAGCTATCTGCTCCGAACTATTCATTATCCGCATGTGTAACCCCTCACACCCGGGTCCAACTCAACCCGCTCCGAGCGGGCCTCGAACCCGGGTCTCCGGCATGAGAGTCAGGCGCGCTAACAAGGAGGCTAAAGACTGCAGCCTCTAGCGTCTGTCGCTAGAGCGCCTATTGAGATCGGGGAGTGAGGTTTACTCGCACAGCAACTACTAGCTGGCCTCCGTTACACATGCGCATATTGCGTCTCAAGGTTGTCCGTATGTCTAGACGCTAACCGCGCGGGGGCGGAGTGTGTGATGCGATTTACGCACGGCAATTACATTGGCTCGTTCAATATTACTCAAAGAACATAGGCTCTCTGACGCGATCCCCATTCAGTCGACTACATCCTCCGTTCCCTCCTTCAGGGACACATAAGCAACCTCCACAACTCTTCCACATACACAACCAGGATGTTATATTTGTTACAATTGTTACATTTATCATACAAGCTATAATAAATTATTATGGGATCTCATTTAATGCTTTCAGAGTATTTACTTTTTTAAGAATATTGTTTCTGTAGACTAATTTTAAAATTAACATTTTAATGACAGTATATTTATTTTAACAAAAATATGTATCAAAATCTTTTATGTATCAAAATAAACCGAAAACAGATAGCCAATCAAATCCTTCTGTCTTGCTGTCAACACACAACAAGAGTTTGTGGAAAGTAGATGCAAGCAGATTTGGAAAAGTAGATGTAAGTAGATGCAAGTATTAGACAACTGTTTTATGATAGAAATATTCAGGAACCAACAGTTATATACCTATCTTGTAATGCAAACTACTCCACGTTTTTATGAAATTTTGCCATTTTGAATTGAAAAAATGGGATCAAGATTTATGTAAATCATAAATGAACGTGACGAGATAAGAAACGTTTGCACACTTTTGACATAAGCTATTAGACATAGTGTTAAAGTCCCTGTAAAGTCAAAATTAAGTATGTGTTCTGAGTTTGTCACACCACAGAAAAATGTGTTATTAGCCACCCAGCCAAATTTGAATGATAAAAAAAGCCGGCAAGTACATACAATAAGCTATCAAAATCTTGAAAAAATGAGCAGTTCTCAAACGCTGGGGGCGTGTCCGCTGGCTACGTGGAAACCATGCCCACTCGCGGGAAAGCTGTCAACAGTGATATTATCTGATACTGCTTTCGGGACGGGAGAATGAACGCTGAGGCGGGAGAGAGATGAAGAGTTCAGATGCAAAAGCCTCTAAATGCCTTTTGAAATTTTCTTCTAAAATGACCATTTTTATCAAGCTTGTATATTTAAGTTCAGTAATTTCACTTAAATGGCATTGTCATTTAAGTGAAATTACTGAACTTAAATATACAAGCTTGATAAAAATGGTCATTTTAGAAGAAAATTTCGAATGGCATTTAGAGGCTTTTGCATCTGAACTCTTGAGATCGCGCTGAGATCATTTGGGCCTCGTTCACCAGCAACAGCTGATTATCAGTTATCTCTGAGGAAAGTTTATAAAACGATCCCGTGTAAAATGATCACTACAGAGGCGGGTGTTGGCGGTGATCCTCAGCTCTTCATCAAGGTTGGCTCTCTAAAAACCTCTTCTTGATGTGATCGTTTTTAGGGATTTTAAATAAAGATACCGATCTGTTTTGTACATGATCGCATCCAGGTAGTAGCCAATGCATTTCTGTGTTGAAGGCATAGCTAGCTAGAAAACTGTAGGCTCAGCTGTAGTAACTAATTGTACTGACAGTCACTCGCGATTGAGCGGTGAATGCGAATGTGCTCGGGAGTGTTATTGTGTGTAAGGGGAGAGATCAGAATCTGTGCGTCATCAAATAGGGGTGTGTCCAGGAGCTCATGGGCTCCAGTGCATCATCGAGCCCTGTTTTAGCCCCGCCCAAACAATCCGTAAAATTGAAATGGTGAAAAACTGTTTAATGGTCTAACTGCACATTTCAGTACTTCACAGTTCACAGTCTTTGTAATATGTTTTAGCAATACATATGTAACATTTATAATGTGTTTAGAACTTTTTTGTAGAATTGCCTTTACAGGGACTTTAATATGCACATTTTAAAATAAAATTTTATTTTTAAATAGTTTAAATTAATTGCATCAAAACTACAATCAGACCTAGAACTTATTTTACTATTCATATTTACTTATTTCTTAAAATCGTTTTTAATCCTTTAATTATTTAATTGGTTTATTGATATTAATATTATGCAGTTGATCTTACAATTCTTATGAATGTGTGCGTGACCGTGATTCATGTTAATGCATGTCAGTGAGCACGACATTACACGTCAAGATTGTATGCAGTTCTTTACTAAGTAAGTCCATTTTAAATTCTGATTGCCGCAACTGAAATAGGTCAAGACACTTTGCGTTCGTAAGAGTGATACAGTTAACCGGTTTTTGTGTGATATTAGTAGAATATCGCATGATTGAAAAAGGCTCTCAGCCAATTAGATTTGAGAACCAGAACTATATGCATGCATAGTCCACATTTATTTTTATAACATGTAAAAGGGCAAATAGCTTTATTCAAAAGCTATTTGTCTGATTTTCTTTGGAGTAAGGAAAGTCATATGGGTTTGAAACAAGATAAGAGTGAGTAAAATATTATTATTATTTTTTTTTAGTAAAGCAGCCATCATCTCTCTCAGAGAGACCCTCATTAGTGTGTCTGAAGCACCAGCCTCGAAGTGAAACCAGACTAAAGTGAGGGGAAGTTGGCAGATTATTGATGTGTTTACCGAGGGTTTCTCTCTTTCGTCAAACATGTCGTTAATCCAGTGTCATCCGAAGTGGATTGGAAAGTCCAGATTGATCGGTGCTAATCTTGATGGATGTCCTAACGCCTTTGCTGGCGGCCGGATCCTGACGCTGAGATGCTCATAGATTCTTTCTTGCTCTCTCTCTGTAGGGGATACTACATTGTGGTGGTACCGCTGAAGAAACAACGGCCCGGAAAATTCATCAAACTCTGGGACAATCCGGATGAGATGAATCTGGAAGAGGTAACAGGCACCTTACACATCAGCACTGGAGTCACTGCATCGATAAATTAGGCCCACTTTACAAACATTATTGATCATGGCAGCAGCCCATGTAAGGACATCAGTCCCAATACAACTACAAGCAGTTGATTTGAAAAGAAAGCTGCAAAACCTTGCAGTTCTACCAGCTCCCTTCATATGCAAATCTGTTCCTGCCCGCTAATGGAGAGGGGAACAAAAGACGTTCTCCTCTGAAGGGTAGGACGAGTGGGTGAGAGATAGAGCCAAACAATTTTATTTTTAGCCATAGTAAATATTTAAAAGGCTTAAGACTGCGAGTGTTTTCCCCAGAATTGTGCCAGTCAAACTGCCAACCACGGCATGTACGCTGCAGCTTGGGAAGGAACAGCACCATGCAGGGATCTCCTTTCTGATTTGCTGATGGCTGGAACCACCCCTCCCCTATATATATATATACATAAATTCCCTCCAATTCTCTATTATGTACACACACACACACTCAATTTATTTTACTGTCAATATTTGAAGTCGCCTGTTCAAAGTGCCTCAAGGGCAGAAGAACTGAAGCAGTTTTGAAGTCAGCTTGAACAGGATTGATAGAAAGCTTTATCAAAGCAGCCCTCCATCTCACAGCAAATGCCTGCGGATAACTACACATACATTTGTTTTGTTGTTTTCATGTTTTATGGGGATATTGCATAATGCTTTTTATACTGTTTAAACTTTAAACTGTATACTCTATTCTTCATAAACCTGCCCCTAAACCTATATCTTTATAATGTGTTACACAAAGTTTTCATGTAAAGTGTTAAAAGCACATAAAAAAAATGCTAAAACTAAACTAAAATTAAAACCAACATTGAACATATGAAAATAAAAGCCAATGAAAATTATAACATATTATAATTGTATATAAATAATAATAAAATAACACTGCTCTGTTCATAATCACATTAAATGTAGCACTAATTAAAATGTGTGAGTTGAACTGATCAAGCATTTGTCTCGGTTTCTTTTATAGTTGTTGCGAGAAATCAACCGAACGAGTCGCGCTCTTCGGTTTCGCAGGCAACTGGAGCTGAAGCCGTACATCGCCGCATATTTCCACGAGTTGCCAACGGAGTTCACGCTAGGTGATGCCAAGACGTACGGAGACTTCGAGAACAAACAGCTGTTGAATGGACAGGAGTATGTGTTCTTCGTGCTGGCTGTGCTGGAGATCTCAGAGAATGTGAGTCTCATCCTCCGCTTTCTATTGCTCTTATGGTAAAAAAATAATAATAATTCCTTTAACAAAGCATTAAAGCAATCGCACACCTTATGATTTTGCAAGTTAGGGAAAATTACTTTGTACAGGAGAATATATTATAAAAATAAACTTATAAGTATGCAGTTATATTTTTTGGCAACACTTTACAATACTGTTTCATTTGTTAACATTTGAAAACTATATTAGTTAACATGAACTTACAATAAAAATAGTTCTAAAGCATTTATTAATCTTAGTTCATGTTAATTTCAATATTTGGTAACACTTTACAATAAGGTTCATTAGTTAACTACACTAGTTAATATTAGTTGATTCAATTCAAAAGATATATATCTGTTATTATTATTTAATGAACCTCAGCTAACATGAACAATGAAAAGTTGTATTGTATTAATGTTAACAGAGGCACATAATGCAACAAATGTGTTGTACATTAATGTTAGTTAATACATTAACTAATTTTAACTGGTGGAACATTATTGTAAAGGGTTATCAATATGATAATATCCTTAAAACAAGATGCAGTTATAAAACTGTGAATACATCTAATTTTTCTAAGTATTAACCACACTAATCTGAACTGTATTTGTACTTAAGCTTAATTCAAGATAAACTCTGAACACCATGCTTATTATCGTTCACATTTTTATCCTCAACTAAATGTATCTTGTTTCAAGGATGTATAAATATTTATCAAAAATACTGATGAATAAAATTGTTGTATGCCTGGGGGCCAAATCTCCTTTGTCTTTTGCCCAAACGATTGCTGACATTGGTGTCAGAGTCACATGATTCGGTCAGAGCGAGAACACCAGGCTGAACTCTATCAGCACACAGCCTGCTGGGAATAAGAGCTGTCTGTCTGTATCTCACAGGGAAAGCCCTGAAGAGCTGTCAGCAGCGGGACTGTGAGATAAACGCCTTCTCTTTAATAGCAGCAGAGTCTTATCAACTGCACTGCAGAGAGACAGACACGCACACATACAGACAGACAGACTGAGGAATGATTAGCTCTGTGAAAGCAGTGAGACTGCATTCACTGTGCACTGGAAAGACAAAAACTCAGATAGTAGAGATAGAGGCAGTGACCAAACCTCATATAGCTATTCATGCGACACGTTCCGCTCTGTGTTTACACTTTCCTCCATGTTTCTTTGTCAATCTCATGTATAAATTGGATAAAGTACTTGTACAAAACTAGAAACAATGAAAGAAATTAAAAGAAATGAACACTTTTATTCAGCAAGGATGCTTTGAATTTATCAAAAGTGACCGTAAAGACATTTATATTGTTACAAAAGTTTCTATTTAAAAAAAAAAATCTTGTTATAAATCATCAAATAATCCTGACAAGTATCACGGTTTCCACAAAAAATATTAATTAGTAACAACTGTTATTAACTTTGATAATAATAAGAAATGTTCTTTGAGCAGCAAATCAGATTTTTTTCTGAAAGATCTTGTGACACTGAAGACTGGAGTAATGATGCTTAAAATTCAACTTTGCTTCACAGGAATAAATTTACATTTTACAATATACAGTATGGAACATGGAAAGCAGTTACTTTAAATTGCAATAATATTTCACAATATTACTGTTTTTACTGTATATTTGATCAAATAAATGCAACATTGGTGAGCAGAAGAGAATTATTTCAAAAACATTAAAAAAAATCATAATCATTTTAAACTTACGAACTGTTTGGCAGTATATGTCTCATAATATTTCTGAATATAATGCCTGAGAAACGTTTGTGTGTGTGTGTGTGTGTGTGTGTGTGTGTGTGTGTGTGAGTGTCTTGCGTCTAATATCTCTGTTTATCTGCTTGTGCTGATGATTTGAGAGTAAATTAGATGCTAATCACTGAATGTAGTAGGTAACTCACATCACTGAACACATGGCAACACACACTGATGAATTTTGCATTAATCAGAGTCATAACAGGATTTGAGACCTCTGACAGTGTTTTTATATAATCATATTTATATAGTTCCGTTTAACTGTTTCCGTTAATTGTTTCTAGCACATTCAGGCTGTTTGACTGTGTACTTGAATAATAATATGTTGCCATTGATTGCAAGGAACCTGTTTTAGAGAAACATGCCAGAAAAACTAATGTGATAATAATGTGAGAATAATTCATCTATTCACATAGAAAAGCAGTTTCTCCTTAAAGTAATGATTTAGGCACTTCACAGATCAAATAACAAACTCTTCTTCTGCTGAATAATTCATGTAGTGCTTTAACACTAGGTCAAGATGCCATGATGGTCATTTTGACCATTTAGAATTTTATATCTGCACTTTGATGGAAAAAAAAAAAATTTTGTGGTATTCTTTTGTTACATTTCCCACGGTTGACCTTTTGTCTCTCTCACTGTTAACAGAATATCTAAATAAGATACTTTTAGTTGTTATTTTTTTGTTCTGAGTTCTGTTGAATGGATATGGAAATATAGCCTATCTGTTTTGAATATGCGATAATAACGGTAGGCTACTAATGAAATTGTCATTTATAAATGTATAATTAAACTTGTTTAAATGTACAGTTTGGTGTTGTTTTGTTTTTAAAAGATATCCCAATGCAATGAATGCATTAAACTTTCAATTACATATTCGATCATTAAAGATAGTTTGTAATCTAGCGGTCAAATGGCCACTTGTGGGAGTCCTAGTAGTTATGGAATTCTGGCTCTTCTAGTGTTAACAAATCTACATTGAAAACAATTTGAAACAATTTGTATTGTATAAAGCACTATAGAAGCATTGAAACAATTTGTATTGTATAAAGCACTATAGAAGCATTGAAACAATTTGTATTGTATAAAGCACTATAGAAGTAAAGACTTGACTTGACTTTGAAACCCTCTGCTACTCTCGTACCATAGATGCCAATTGTATGTGTTACTTTAAATAATATTTCAGGGTTTTTGTTTGTTTGTTTGTTTGTTTTCGTCAAGCCAAGGGACATGAAATGATTGTTTTATGTGGTAATCAACATCAAAAAAATCGAGCAATTCAGATGACACTGTTGTTGTTTGGGTTTTCTTTCAGATGCTGTACGCGGCAAGTCCATACTCTGATCCGGTGGTGTTTGCTGATATCGACCCACAGCCCATAATCGATGAAGAGGAGGGTCTGATCTGGGTCGTGGGGCCTGTGCTGGCCGTCATCTTCATCATCTGTATTGTCATCGCCATCTTGCTGTACAAGAGGTAGAAACTGTGTAGAAACACACATTCTCAATAACCCTTTGCACATTATTTGACTTATAATCTGAAGTATTTCAGTATTCTCCGTGAAACAGTGAAAATAAAAAGAAAAGTATGGTCGCTGTTGGTTAACATTATCTAAAGGACACAATTGTTGAGCTATTAGGGTGAAAGATTATGAATACAAAGTGGTCATTGCAATAACATTTACTGATGAATTCTTCTCAATAAGAGCTGAAATTTGGGTTAAGAAGGTCATTTGAATTGTTGACTTTAATCCATTTTGTGTATATGTGTGTTTATGCAGTTATGAATTGTACATATCTTCAGTAATCTGTGGCCCTCATTTGAATATAGACTGATCTGATCATCTGCTAAAAATTACAGTCAGGCTTTGAGTTGAACATCTATTGTGATGAGGTCCTTCATATATCCAGGGTTATTTGATGTCTTCTGATGGCAGATTTATTTGTTAATCACAGAATCAATGTCACGGGCTCATGCACACATCTCATAGTGTAATATTACAATGTCAACAGCACAACACACTCGCTGCCCATGATGCACCAATTCAATCCAAACAAACAGTTTCACATGAGCAATTCCTGCTGTCAAGACAGTGAAGTACAAACCTGTAAATATCAGGGTATTAAAACAGATTTTTCTGCCATGCTTGGAAAAGCCATAATAGTTTTAGTGATTATGTTATATTATATTATTAATACTTTTATTCAGAAATAACATTAATATGATTAAAAGAGACAGTGAAAACATTACAAAAAAAATATATATATTTCTAATACATGCTGTTATTTTAATCCATTCTATTTATTAATGAATATTTATAAAAGTATCACGTTTTTTTTGACATTGGAAGGATTTCTAAAGGATCATGTGACAATGAGTCATGATGCTACAATAAAATCTTACAGACCCCAACCTTTTAAACAGTATTCCTTATTAGTTTTATAATTAATTTTGCTCATCAGATAGGTCAGGGCTTCTCGAAGTATTTTGAATGGTTCTTTCGTGACCCAAAGTCCTGTTGGCACACTTCAAAAACCCAAAATTATTTGAGAAACAAGACTTTGTGAGATCAAGAGTTTTTTCTCACACCACCAGTTGCACAGTGGATCTATGTCTTAACCCCCTGGGGACCAACGTGTATTTGGGGTCCTTGAGATGTTCTGACATGCCCTGACATCTGTGCTTTTCTAAGTTGCTTATAAACACATGAATGGCACAGGTGAAATTACAGCACAAACAGGTCAACCATAATATGTGAGCAACATGCATGTACAGTACATGTTTGTATTTTTGAGAGAATATTGTTTTATGTGTGGTTATTGAAAAAAAAATGAAAGTTTCTGAAATAAGGCCACAAAGTACGTACAAAATAATACTTTTGACTAATGGATGTTGTGGCCTAGAGTTTTTTCTTCACAATGATCTGAAAATCATCCTCCTAATCGTTCACATAAAACTGGGAATTGGGTTATATTGTGAAAAAATTTTTTGTTTACCAAGGCAATATGCGAATGGGCGTGAACAGGCCAGCCCTCATCATGTATAATTAGGTGACTCTCACCTGAGAGAGACAAAGACATGCATAATAATGACACTTTAATTCAGGCGAGTCAAGAAGACAAGAAAAAATTGAAAGGACAACATACATACCTATTTACATATATATTTACACATACACACACACACACACATATATATATATACAGTATATATATATATATATATATATATATATATATATATATATCATAGGGCAATTGTGTAGAATTGGTTCAAAGTTAGAGTTGGAAACATCTTGAAAAGAAAATTATTTTTCCAAATAAAGTATTATTTTTAAAGTAGGCCATTTATATTTTATAATACATATTTCAAAGTTAAGGATTCATTATTTTGATATGTGTATTGCATTAGCTTGCATTGTATAACAGTTGATTAGTTTATTTTTGACAAAACATACTATTTAACACATGAGCAGAAACTGTCTAACTAAAGCTTATTTGATGTCTTTTTTATTGTAAAAATTTTGTAATCTTTTTTCGTCTGTAACAGTAGGCTATGCATCTGTGCGTCCGTTCGTTCACACACCCGATTCATATTTAAACATGAACATTAAACATAAGTCTTTTTCGTTTTACAGATCAGTATTGAACAAATCTCAGTAGTCTATATAGTCTTACTAATGTAGGAGCGAAAGTGAATGAACACCCAGCGCGCGCGTCTGTCTGCGTGCGCATTTAATATTTAAACAGTCTTTGTGCAGTTTACAGACGCTATTCAATAACGTGATGAGAACAAAGCACTTAAGATTAAATGACTTACATCAGCTGCATCCGTGTGCTCCTCCTCGAAAATGAAACAGGTAATTGAGGTCATTTTCCAGGATTATTATGACAGTATTATTGCTCACAGCGCAGCAAGACGAGGTAAAGGTTAGATTTGTGATAAACTGGATGTTTTATCCAGCTGATATATGGGCGTTTTCATGGCTTGCCTCAACATTAGCGTTTGAATAGTGCGCACTCTCAGTGGGTGGGGTCACATTAACACGTCATACGCTATAATTAGGTGAAAGGAAACAGACAGACATCTCTCTTTTTTCATACAGATTACATAAACTAAGAATAGTTGCTTTTTTAGATCAATTACTTAATTTAAAAGCAGGGGCGGAGTGGCACCAAAAAAACGGGAAATTTCGTAGACCACCGGCCCTCGTCGCCGGCACGATTTTAATAGCTGATAGCATTTACAGTTTTATTGATTTAAAAGGAACTTTGTTGTACTATGCTGGAGTAAAGTTCATAAATGGTCGTTCTTTCCCATAGTCATTTCTAAAACTATGTTGGGTGGACTCTGTGCCTCTAGGGGGGTTTGGGGGCATGCTCCCCCGCAAGAAAATGTTGGACATTTTAAGGTTAAATGCATCAATCTTGTGCTCTCTGGGAGATCACAATTAAGAGCTTCAATCCATGAACTGCTCGTTGAACAAAGAAAAAGTATTAATTTGTACCAGGACAATAAAGAGGGCTCAAATATCTTTTTAGTTATGAGAGTCTCAGTCTGCATTACATTATCAATGGTGTTTTAGGATGCCAAACATTTATTATAATAATGTAATAATGATTTATAATTATTCCTATGAGTTACTGTAAAATCCATTTAGCCTAAATGTACTATGTAAATGAAAATGAGTATTTCAAAAGTATATTTTAACCTACTTTACACTACAATATAGGACAATTAAAATACTTTTGTCCTAATTTCTTCACTTGTAAGAAATAAACCATTGAGTTTTTATTTAGGAGAAAACACCAGATGATCGCGTGAGCAAAGTAATCACGCAGCACAAATTGCATGCTATTCTAATGTCAGTTATTAATGGCGCAATGACATATCATGGTTTCAATTTTAGTTTGTTGGCAAAATATAACGCTAGAGGATTCGAACTCGCGTTCAGCGCATCAAAACTGCTTTCAAACACTTCACGCCCTACAACCTACACCACTGAAGCTGTTTCAAGACAGGCGTCTTTTTGCTGTAAAGACAGGCACTTAGTGCAAATATATGCTCCGTTATAGGGCCCCAAGTGCACATGGCGAACTTCCAATAAATACATTTTATCAGACCGGCCCTCGCGGCCTCGAAACACTACCGGCCCACCGGGAAAACTCTCGACTCTCCCGATTGCCACTCCGCTACTGTTTAAAAGAATTTCAGCTTCATAAAGAGAAATCTTTCGTGTCTCTGTGACAAGTATTTAATGAGTTAATTTTCCAGACGCGTTTCAGAAAGATTTTTGCGGAGACAGAGTGAGCTCAAAGTGGACCCTGTTTATTTTATTTATTTTACAAAAACACAAGGTTTTGATGTTAATAAGAGTGTACACAAAAAAGAAGACCCTCTATAGTTTATAATCATGTATTGATTTTATTTATATGACCATTAATGACAGAGTATTTTAAGTCTATGTTGCAGCTATGTGGGAAAAAAAAAAACGATCAAAGCCCGGGGATGCGTTTTTGGTCCTCAGGGGGTTAACACAATATATCAGATGAAAATGAACAATTGCAAAAACCCTTCTGAATATCAGTAGAACTGATGAGGAGATCTGAGTTTGTCTTGTATACTAACCTCTGTTTTCCCTTTCTGCTGTTTTCACTGGAGCAGTCAACCAGACAGGTAAGAGCATTAGAAGAACTGTACCTGAGACTCATGCAGTGGTTATGGCACAATAGAGGGCACTGAACTCTAATTTCAATTTCGATCACAAGCGTGTTTGCTTGACCACTTGCAGTGATCCTGTGATAGTCCAAGCAAAGTTAAATTTGTCTTTTAAGTATTATGTTTTTTCTTTTTTTCAGGAAAAGGGCAGAGTCAGAGGCCAGGAAAGGCAGTCTACCCAGCGGTAAAGAAATGCCTTCCCATCACCCCACCGACCCCGTAGAGCTACGCCGTCTGAACTTTCAGACTCCTGGTAAGAGCTGCTTTACACAAACACAAACAAACACAAATCCTCAACCACACTGTCCTAAGAAGCTTCAACAAAAGGTTTTGACTCCTGCTATTTTTCCATGAAGAGAAGTATAATATAAAAAGTGAAGTATAATATATTGAATCATGAGGAGCGTGATAGTCTAGAGCAGTGCTTCCCAACCCTGGTACTCTCAATTCCGGATGTCTCTCTTATCTGATCTTATTTCAGGATTGAATGTCTATAATGACTAACAAGCTGATGAGTTGAATCAAATATATTTGATTAGTGAGACTAACAAAATTTGCATTTTTTGGGGAACTCCGGGATCAAGTTTGGGAATCACTAGTCTAGAACACACTAGCTCTGTTCCAAAACTCAGTGAGGTGCCTACCTAGACAGAATTTTGGATGTCATTGGTGCTCTCCAGACTTTAAGGCTGCTTAAAATGCTTGGGGCAATACCTCAATAAAATTGTGTGGCAGCATTGCATTTTGCCTTTACAGAATGCATTGCGAAATGCTCAGAAACATGTCATCCATATATTTCTGTATATTTCTTTGTCGCTAGCTTTCCAGCAAGATAACATCAAATTGTGTGGTGCTGCCTATGAAGAATATGTCAAATCAATGACTCAAGAGAATCAATTATAGATTCTGCCTATGTAGACAACAAGGTAGCTCATTGGTTTTGGGAGCAGATATACCGTCTCGGTCAGCTTGTAGGGGCCTCTATGTTATTCAGAAACACAGTCTTAAATGAGTCCTTGGACACAGAGTAGAAACATCAAAAGCCATGCTCTTGTTTTTTCTTAGCATATTTAAGATACAACGTGAAGGCCTGTTAGCCATATGGAGCCGGAAATAGAGAGCAGACCTATTGAGGAACCAGCCTGAGTGCTCACAAACACACAGGACAGGTGCTTTAGGACAGACAAAAGGGCAGAAAATCCCTCTGGACTCAGGAACTGCAGTTTTACTGCTGACCCAAGTACTCCTAGCAACCTGTTTACCTTAACCTTAGTTTACCTTAAAAGCAAAGCCTGTCGCTAACCGAAGCCAGCATAAGAAGACCATGGCGATATATATTCAATACAACCTCTGTTGGTGATTGTATATTCCTTTGGTGAATCAAGACACACACATACACATACATGTAGGCGGGCCATTGTGCTTGAAGTCAGCGGAGTGTGAACGAGGTGTAGAGGAATCTGGAAATTGTCGAGCAGTGAATCGCTGCTCCCTTCTGACCTTGGTGAACAAGGTGAAGTACTCTCGGTTCTAGAGCAGTCAGCCATGAAGACCTATAGATTTATTTTCTGAGGGGCAGAACAGCGGTGACAACAGTTGCTCCATTAGTTTCTCAGACTACATAACCTGGTGCCAGCGAGACTAGCTCTAAACACAATGAACAGGAGTCCATATGTCTGTCTGTCAGAAACACCTGGGCTTGCAAGTGCAAGACAGATGGACTGAGATAGGTCTAACTGCAGAACCTCAGAACCATACGTCATAGCAGTGTGAGGACGGCAGCGCCAGCCTAACAGCCTGATGCCGGAAGTGGACGTGGCAAGGCATTGCAGTATTTCCATGTTTTGAAATGTTTTAAAGTTTAAAACAACGTTATTATAAATACTTTTTTTAAATGATTTAATTGAAAAGATATATTTAATTAAATAGTAGGCTATAAAAGATAAGAATTATGAATTGTCCCATTAACAAAGGACAATATTACTATTAACAAATGTTAATAGTTTTTTCAAAAGTTAAAATGATACTTTATACATTTGGTTCGTTTGTTGAGTTAAACGATTAACAATATAAATTGACCAGCTTACAAAAACAAAAACAAAAAACAAGGGAAACAAAGCTTGAGCATTTGAACTTATGGTTTAATTGAAAATAATTTTTAATACTCAACCAACATTTTTTTTTTTCATAGACCATACACAACAATTATATGATAGGCTGAAAAAAAAAATGATTCATGTTTTTTTTTTCCTCTGAAATATCAAAAGATCATTGTGTGCTCCTATATATAGGAGAAATATATATTTCAATTCTCATGGTCAGTAAATTTAACAAATGTTGTATGATACTACGCCAACAACAACTTAAATCACAAACCATGATGTACAGTAACCTAACAAAGTGATACGACCCAACTTTAAAACAACAATAGGCCTACATGATCAAGTGCCTTCGTCACAATTGTCACTTAGTCACAAAAATTATTAGCCTATATAGTACTTTTTAAAAAACAGATTGTTTCTAAGCAAGTTTACATGGATAGGAAAATAATTCAACAAAGTTTGTCTTTGCAGATCTAGAACAAAATAGTGTTATAATGGAAGTAATTTCAGTGTTGATTCATTTCTGTTGTAAAAAAGTTTTTACAGTTAATTAATCTATATAGCCATTCTGATGTCTTCGTCCAGCTCAGTTCAGTTCTCATTTAATGGTGTCACCTATCCACGTTTCCATTACCCTTCAAATTGCGCATATTGAAATTGCAAATTGAATACACGCACAATGCAAACACTATTTCGCAAAAACTCTTGTTTATCGTAAAAAAGTTTTTATGCTCGCATGAGGGTTTTCAAGCAATTCGAAAAAGGAATATTGCGCAAAACTGCAATGGAAACAGGTTTTGCGCATTTACAGTCACCTGACAATTAGAAGACACAGGGCTCTATCTTGCACCTGGAGCAAATGACTTTATACACAAACGCATGTATCATTCCTATTTTGCACTATAAAGCGGGATTTTTCCCTCCACAGACGCACGTCAGTAAACTAGGAAATTAACTTGCGCTCCCTGGACGGATCGGCGCAAACATTCCCTGGTGCTATTTTACACTTCCAGAAATCAATTGCGCCACTGACCAGAAAAAACCTGGTCTAAAGTCAGTGGCGCGTTGCGCGTTGTTCATAATGCTATTTTAAGCGCGCATGCTTGGCCATAATGTAGCGGGTGCACAGCGCGCATACAATTTGATTCTCTCATCAACACAGATGCAGCAGTTTTTATTTTTGCAAATCATACATTATAACAAGGAAAAATATTAAAACATGAGGGAAATCATTGTGCTTTACATGAAGATGAAAAAACCTTATTACCCATTTTTTTTAAGGCTAATTGTAGTACTAAAGGTCAGTCTCATCGGCTGTGAACGCTCCTGGCGCGCGCCTGGCAAACCCACCGTTATAATAAAAATCCGTCATGCAACATCATGCGCACCTGTTCTTAAAGGGTATGTTGGATGGCACTCTGATTGGTTTATTTCACATTACGCCCAAACCACACCTATGAATAATGAAGCTACTTCAGACCAACCTCATTTAGATTTGCGCCAGGCGCAAGAGGCATTTATCCCGCCGGGAAAATAGCAACAGCGCCGGGACCCACCCACAAAGTTACTTGCGCTTTGCGCTTTGACACTGTCGTTTCAGATCGTTAAAATAGGGCCTACGGTGTGTTTGGTGTCCATGTCCGCAAATAATAATATGTCACGATTGTGGTGCAGGCAGACGAAAAGGCAGAGTCCAGATTCCAAATAATACAACTTTACTTATAATATATCTAGCACGGAGACAGGCAGGCAGACGCAAACACAATGTAACATAAGCCATGTTTCCATCGACACGTTTTTATCCGAATTAAGTGATATTGAATGAAAAAAGCCTTGTGGAAACAGGAAAATTCTATGAAATTTCATGAAAATCGACTCAAATGAAATACGTTCGGTCTCATCGAATTTTCTCTTGATCGATATACGGCTAATGCGATAAAAGCTGATGGAAACGTTATTTGCCGAATAAATAATGAATTGCGATTAAGTTTTATGCCCTTTTATGGTTGCAACACGTCAGAAGACGAGTTCATTTCCGGCCAGTCTGTTTGCCCACACATGGCGGATGTCAACAAAGACAGATGTAAGTGGACAAAGCAAAAAGATGCTTCAACCAAAGGGTTTCCGTGAACCACGATCTCCCAGAACTGATGGAGCGCTGTCGTTCCCACACCACAGTCACCTCCGCTGTCGTCGGGCATACGTGCATCGGCATCATCATAGCAATGTTTATAGCGTCGTTGTTTTCTTAGGTTAGTTTTGCTTGTTTTTACGTGGCTTGGTTGAATTCTAATGTAGAATGTGGTCTGTTATTTCTAGTTAACAGACTACGGCGCTGCTAGTATAACACACCGTTGCCATGGACGCAGTTCAGAGACGGAACAGACTATTTTCTTTAGCAGAAGCAATATTCGTTTTTAAGTCAATATTTTGTGTCAAATTATTGATTTATTTATTTATTTGGTTGATTTATATGTAATAAGCAGGATAATATATAGTGAGGCGGTTGTTATAGCGAATACAACCGCCTCGCATACATTATCCCATTCATATGTCGCTATCAGCTGGCACATAAGCATTATTAGCCTTCAACTTGTGAAATATTGATCATTTTTTGGTAGCTGGCGCGATCCGTTTTGTCCAACAAAACTTTGTTTGCAAAAGTTTGCTTGAATGTTGTTCGATTCAGTGCGAAAATAAATGGAAACACATTAAAATGTCTCAAATCAATTCGATATACCAATTTGATCGCAAAACAGCATGTGACGTCATTACGTACAGGTTTTTATTCGCTTTAAAGCCGTTGGATGGAAACACACTTTCACCAGCTTTATCTGCATGAGTTTTTTAACCGAATTTCAGATAATTCGATTGACAAGTGGATGGAAACATGGCTATAGACAACGACTGACAAGGACAGGCTGAACAGAACCAAACTAAATACAAGCATGAATCAAACATAACAAGGTGAAGACAGGTGACACAGATGAACAGGACGATGAACAGGTGGATGATTGAGGGAGTGACTTCAGGTGTGGAGACAAGAGGATCCTGGGAAGTGTAGTGAAGATGACGAAGACAGAATGGTGCAGACGAGGACTGTGACATAATAATAATTATCATCATTAATATAACATGTATTACTTTAGGCTATATACAGAAGACGTTTTTTCCCAAAAAAGGAACAAAGTAATGTGTCACATGTCATTCATTATACAGGGCTAAGATTATCACAAATAAACAAGATTTTGACGCATATCCCAGTGTTTGTGCAGAGTGTGGAGCATCACTGGATGGGCAGCAGGGAATCGTGGGCACGGTCACTTGCATTTTCCTATCAACAGTGGAAGCAACTTAAAATACTCTATCATTTCTGGTCATACAGAAAATAATAATACATTATTCACTACTACTTGTATTTTTGTAAACTCACAATAACAAGAAAATGTTGTGCTTTTGTAAAATAAACTAAAACAATCAGGCGCGCTTTCATGATCTCTGTGAACTGAATCACGAGAACTGAAACAAAATATAACCTATGTAGGCAAAATATTGAAATGTCCACTTTAAAACGAACAAATTAGAATTGAAAACTAATATCTTCTGATTATGTAATAATCCGTATGAAAGTTACGTTTCTCTCTGTAAAGGTGCATCCGCCTTATATGGCCCACTTCCGGCATCAGACTGTCAGGCTGGCGCTGTCGTCCTCACACTGCTATGACGTATGGTTCTGCGGTTCTGCAGTTGGTTAATATGGACCGGAGGGAAACAGTTCACCTTTCTAATAAAAACAGCTTAGACCCGCTTTTTATGGTGTTAGCTTGCTTCTAACACTTTTCACTCTATTGGTCTGTTTTGATGGGTTTAGAGGGGTTTGGGAGGCCAACCAACCAACCCCAAAAACTCACTTCCCCACAACACAATTCATGACACCTCACAATGTATGTTTACTAATTTCCCTCAATTGGATTTCCTCAATCCAATTATAAATTCATTATTTGGGTGCATGTAAACATAGCTAGTGAGTTCATTCTAAGGATTGACATTTGTTGATAACCAAAACCCTTAAAAGTGCCATTGGTTATTATATAGTTAGATGGGGAATCCCATTGTGTTTGAAAGCACACAAGCATAAATGAAGAAATGTGGGAAGTGTTGCGAGGTAAACACGACTGTTGATCTTGATGAAAATCCTGACAGAAGCAAAACAGCTTAAAAGCCTGTGTTTAGCTGGAATTAGCCCAAAGTCAAGGTCTGATTTAGGACCATTCAGTGGTTGCGTGCTCATCGTCAGGGTAGTCCGGGAGACTAGTCAACCACCTGCTGGTTTCAAAGAAACCATAAGCTGGTTCAAGCTCAGTTTTCTTCTTGAACCATTTATCTAGTGTCAGAAAAAAAGTAATCGGATCCAAATCATTAACTTGATTCCCATCCATGCACTGCAGCCTGTGTTAGGTTTGATATTCATCTACAACACAAAAATGGAAAGACTCGTACTGTATTCACGTGTCAGGTTTGCATTGCAACATGGTTTCAAGAGCAATGTTCCATGCACTCAATCCTCTCCGCCGCTCTTTATTAGTGGACCCATGCCCCTCTTTCGCAAACAGCCTCTTAGAGAAGCTTTGCATCCTCCATTTTCCCTTCAGGCAGGGGAACGCAGGCTCTCGACAGCTGAAGATCCCTCTCTTCTGTGAGTACGGCCCCTGCATTAGCCCTCCTCTTTTCAAACCCTTAATGCCATCGTGCGGCCACCCAACCCTCCCCCATCTCAATTTTCATCTTGAGGGTGCTTGATGTCGCTCCGACGCGTTTCTCCGAATGGCAGTTTCATTGTCACCGTGGCTGGTAATGGGTCTTGAGAGGCGGTGGATGGCAGCTCTCTCCTGCTGCTTCCATTAGCTAATGCCCTCTTCTATCAGCCCTGAGATGAAAGAACCGCAGTGCCACGTCCAAGCGTACGGACTCTTTTTCTGTGGCACGCAGGCTATTGTTATGCAAACCGGTTATCAGAGAGCAGCTTCTGCTTCTCAACAATTCAAAAGCATCCTCTGCAGTGCAAACACTAGCTCTTTCTCTCACAGACATGCGCCTTCGTTACTGAAGAGAACAAGCAAACACGCACATGATAAACGTGCACGCTATCGTCTTTCTCCTTGTTACATTTGTTTGTTTGTTTTGACATTTGTTTTTGTTTTTTTCTTTTTCTTGGTTTCCTTTCCAAACTTGTTATCCTCATTTCCACATGCTTGTCGTATGTTAGCCATTGGCATGCATGAATTTGTTTTGACTAACAAACTTAAATATAAAGTTGAAGCGTTGTTCCAAACTGTCTATTGTCATTTCAGACTGTGTTTCTACTGCCTCTTTTTAGTTCCGGAAGTGATCGATCACCACATTTGCTTGTTTTTTTAGCGTCAGCTAGTATGATTTATCCCCGTACCGTTTTCCTTTGCAGGTTCAGCCACATCGGTTTACCCCAGTAACCTCCATTTGTCAAGTTAGTCGTTCTTGTTTCTACATATGCCACTGTGTCTGTTCATTTTCTCCAATTGCTCTCTTAATTGTCTCATTTATTTATGCGTTCATCGACTCACACCGCTTTGCCTCTCACGCCAGCGCAGGAGGCGGGGTTTGATATGTCGCATTCTTTAGACTCATGGCCGGCTCAGACTTTAATATCCAGCCCCTAACGTTCTCCTCTATTCCATCTTTCCACCATGTTAAAGCTTGCGGACGAATAACATTCTTCTCTTCATTAGGAATGCTCTGTGCGGCTTTTGTGTCCATTTTCTTCAAGCATGTGGCTGCTTCGTCCAATCATACAGGCCAAATAAAAACCTCACATTCTCCATCCTCTATAATGCTCATCTCTCTGTGTATGCTCAGATTCGCTAGCACTTACATAATGACTCTTTGTTTGCCTCCTGTCCGTAGGGATGGCCAGTCACCCTCCCATCCCGGTCATGGAGCTGGCTGATCATATCGAGCGCCTGAAAGCAAACGACAACCTGAAGTTTTCACAGGAATATGAGGTAATCATCAGCTGTTTTATTTTCTGCAGGGAAACAAGCTGTTTTTGTTCTCAGCCCCTTTTACTCCTAGGTCCCCCTATTATCAAAGGCAATATTTCTGGTATTTTCTGCTGTAATGGCAAACTTTTTTTTTCCACAGAAACTACGCTATTATAAATAAAGTTTCATAAAATGTGTTTTTTTTTTTTGTTTGTTTTTTTTGTTTTTTTGTGTTGATATAGAAGAATCATTTTTGGTTCCCTGAAGAACCTTTCAGTGAACAATTTTAATAAGTGAACCACCTTTCCCATTTTTAAAGGTGCATTGTGCAAGTCTCTAAGTTTTTGCAGAACTATGCCACCTATGGCGACAAGCAAAACTGCAACCCTGATGACCACACGCACGCTTGCACGAGCTCTTCATAACCAAAGAAGCATCAGCCGCACAAATCTTTTGTTACAGTCATAATGTCTTCAGAGGTAATAAAGTTATAAATCTGCAAGTCATTTTAAATATATGAAAGGAAAGGCATTTGAGTAAATTACACACTTATGTGTGTGTGTGTTACATCGCGAGAGCTGATATCACGCAATACTTCCTGATGCTGAGGCCGGCAGCTCGCCGCACTGAAGCTGCAAGTGAGATTTTTCCGCTCACAGGCACCTGGGGGGGTCGAGACGCCCACCATTCAACCCGAAAGAAGTCATATCACCATTTCAATAACTCTGAAGCTGTTAAATTAAGCTAAAATAACTGCATAGTGTCCCTTTAAAAATCAGTTGTCAAATTTCAGCACGTTTGTACTGAAGTAGGAAAAATAACAAAGTTTAGTGAAAAATAATTAATTTACTTTAAATTATGAATGCATTACACAGAAAGCAAGCAAACAAGCGCTCCGTTAATCACTGAAGCTGACAGTTAGCACACTTGCAAAAAGTCCAATTTTAATCTATGAATCTGTCTAAAGTGCACAATAAATCTTTAAATTACAATGTGTATAAATGCTTTGTTTGTTATAATGTGAGGATTTGTGAGCACGTAGTAGGACTTAATCTGGCTCTTGGCAGAAATTTATTTAGTGTTTTGAGGGATATTGAGCTGAGTCTCACAACCAACTGGTAACTTAAACACCTCTGATTGGCATTATTTTCAACAATAATGCCTATGATTGGCTACAATAATCAATGCTGCAAAATCACATTGTACATAGACACAATTGCAGCGATTAACATGCCAGGTTGGGGTGAAGCTGGAGCAACTGACAGCACCTAGCAAGCCTATTACACTGATGCGACAGCCCTGAACAAACCCAAGCAAAATCTAAATCTTTTCGCATACTGCCTGGAACCCACACAAGTACTCACAGTTGGGAATCACTGATCTAAAGCTTTAGAAAATAATCCAAACAACCACTGATTTATGATAACCTTATTTTTTTTCCATTTTTCCCACACCTAAATATATTGCCTACATTTAAACTTGTTTAACATATATTTTAGAAGTGAAAGTGACACATTTAATAAACCGGTCTCTGTTGACCCGTTCCCCCCGCAACAATGCTGATTCGCGCTGGAAACGTTCGGAACAGATACGTTTAGTTGAATGACATTGCATCCCTGTAGTTTGCTTTGTATTTAAAATGATTTACAGCACAGCAACAAACACATAATACACAAACCTATATTTTATTGAAAAAATGCACCAATTCGGCGGTGCTGAGCCTTTTGTTTTCACTATTCTCTCTCACACACATACATACATTCTCTTACGTACATATTTTCTTCAGACATACATTTTGTTCTTACATGCATTTATAATATTAAATGTATATTTTGAATACATTTGCATAAGAGCTAAATGTATGTATGCATGCATTCAAATATGTGACTGAGAGCAGTATTATATGTATGTGAAAGGAGAATGTAAGTGTGTGAAAGCAAAGATATATGTATGTGAAAGGAGAATGTGTGTTAGAATGAATAATGGCTTGTTTGACTCTTCATACATAAATGACAGAAGTAACTACCTGAACAAAAACAGATGGTCGTGTTCTTGGCCATGATTTTGCAGTATTCAAATCTTTTTTTTTTTCTTTATATTTGAATCCCAGATTTATTTGAGATTATTTGAAATGTTAAAAGGGTTTACAACAACAAATCGAATGTTTTTCAACATTATTGCTGGTAGTTTTAAGGCCAAGCATTGCTATCACTGTTATTCACACTGATTTGATAAGAAACACCCTGGCAACTGTTCCTGTGCACCGTGTGAAGCGTTCAGACGAACCACCTCTATTCGGTTATGACCTGATGAACGTTTGATGCTCACAGTCGATATCGATTGTATCGGTCACGCTCACAGCTCCCCACCAACCACAATGAAACCTTTCCTGTCCGTATCTCCCGCCGCCTATCAGCTGTCATTTAACACGCCCCCGTATAGGAAAGGTCAGGTAGGATGTTTCTTGGTGTAATCTTGTTATCTAGTTGGGAGAGACGTGTCGTTGAGATCCCAACATTATGCTCTGTTTTGTTTTCCGACGGGTTGTTATTTGAGTGGAGCATGCAGGGCCGTGAGAGCCAGGTTTCGTCACTCTTTTCAGGCCCCTCAGTCTGCGGTTACTGAGCATGAGGTCAGACGTGGAGGTCCGCCAAGACGACTGCCAGAGCTGAGCTAAAACACACGGGATTGTCATTCTGGGGTGATTTTGCATGGGCACGGAAAGTAATTTCAGCAGCACAATGAAGCAAGCGAGTTCACAAGCAATGTTTCGAAAGATTTGGGCAGAATGACGCGGCTTAACTGGAGATTTGTCATCTTTAGTGACGCTTTATGGTGCGGCGCGGCGACTCGCCCTGGTAGAAAAATAGCACCACTATCAATTTATGTTTCTTCATATTGGGCCCCAGTTGTTACACAAACAAGCGCAAGCACTTTACTGTGAAAACTGCAGCGTTCTCCTCTTCTCTCAACAGCCAAACTCAGACTGCAAATGTGGAATATCTGTCTTGGCTATTGACATTCTCAGCGTTTATCGTTTTGCTATTTTGGAGTGTAATTTGTCCAAGTGGGGCTGCGATTTGTTTGCAGTCGTCGGCTCACGTTTGAAAGGGCACATCAGTGGACAAAAGCACCGTTTGAAAGGGAGCACATCTCTGTGTGATCCTTTAAAATCTATTCAAGGCATGAAGACATTATTTTCCCCTCTACGCTTACGGGACCAATTTTCATTCATTCAACGCTCCTCTGAAAACTGTAATTTGAAATTTGTCAACGCGGAGAGCTGGCTCGCAGGCAGATGCGTATCATCTTTTCATTTTCAAAAGACACTGCGGAGACTGAATAATTTCATTATTAAAGTAAATGGGAAAAAATTGCAAACTGCACATAAGATTGACGCTGAGGTCATATTGTGCACAAAAGCTCTTTCACTGGCAGACTCATCCCGCGTTCTCTAGCGCTTTTATGCCGACACCTGTTTTTACTGCTTAGCGCTGAAACCTTCAATCGTGTGACTTCCTGACAAAATGTATAGAGGAGCATCACTGCAGGAAGAGCCATACTGTATGTGGAGTTCATTCTGTCCTTTGTTCATTAGTATATTTTTGTCATTTCATTTCATCCATTCATTTTTTTCAACAATAAATTAATTTCCCTCCCTTCATTAATGTGTTCATTCATTTGTCCATTAATATGTTCATTCATTCATTCTCAACATTTTTTTTCATTTCATTTTATCAATTAATTTGTCTTTAATTTATTTGCCTATAAATGGAATATATATGCTTTCTTTCTTTCTTTTTCTTTCTTTTTCTTTTTGTGCTATATTAATGTTTTTGTTAATTGAATGCATTTGTTCATATAAATTATATTTGTTTTGTAATCTATTCATTCATTCATTCATTCATTCCTTTTTCAGTTCATTTCATCAATTAATTTATTTATCACTTTTATTATTTACTCATATATTCATCACTTTAATTATTTACTCATATGAATATTATGTATGCTTTCATACATTCATTTATTTGTGCATCATTTTGTCCAAAGTTATTCCATTCATGTGTTTAACTTGTCAATTTATTCATTAATCTGTTAAATTATTAATTTGATAATTTGCTAGACATGTTATTACCGTTTTCGTTAATTGTTTATAATTATAATCATTTTATCAAAATAAATAAATGGATTAATGCATGCACATTCATTTGTGCATTAATCCGTTCATTTCTGAAAAACAAAATGTGTCCATTTGCTACTCAATGGATTGTTCATTCATTCATTCATTCATTCATTCATTCATTCATTCATATGTGCACTGATGTCATCTACAATGACAGTGTCAGTAATTCATTGCACATTTACATATACTAGGATATAAGTTTGTGATAATGAATGGATGGATTGTTCATTCATTCATTCATTCATTCATTTGTGCACCGATGTCATCTACAATGACAGTGTCTGTAATTCATTGCACATTTATATGTACTAGGATATAAGTTTGTGATAATGAATTAGTGGATCGTTAACTCGTTAATTATTTCATTCATTAATTCATTCATTCATATGTGTACCAATGTCATCTATAATGGCAGTGTCAGTTATTCATTGCACATTTATATATACTAGGATATAAGTTTGTGATAATGAATGAATGGATTGTTAATTCATTCATTCATTCATTCATTCATTCATTCATTCATTCATTCATATGTGCACCAATGTCATCTGTAATGACAGTGTCAGTAATTCATTGCAAATTCATTGCTCACATTAGTTACTAGAAGCTTTTTCCCGCGTTTCCCCGCCCAGCACCAGCTTATATTTCTGAACATTCATTCTCATTATATGATGTGTTACAGTCACCGCTCTATTTTTACAGACACTGAATGCTGATCATAACTGCACAGGTCAAGACACGTCTTTCTATTTTAGATGGATATTTTTGGCCATGATGCGAAAAAAAGTATGCTGTGTCTGAGCCAAAGGTTTGCATATGCAGGGTGCAAATGAAATGCATCTGTGTAACCATCAGAGCAAAAAAAAAAAAAAAAAAGTCAATGTTTTCTCATTAATTAATCTGTTTTCCTCATTTTTCCTTAGTCAATTGATCCTGGTCAGCAGTTCACGTGGGAGCATTCAAACCTGGAGGTGAATAAACCAAAGAACAGATACGCTAACGTCATCGCCTACGATCACTCCAGGGTCCTGCTCTCCGCCATCGACGGTACAATCTTCTCTTCTCATTAGTGTTTGATCATTGTGTCATTTCAGAACAATTCATAAAATGAATAAAAATAATTAACAAAAAAGTTATGACAAATGTCAAAAAAAGTTATGACAAAAAAATACAAATTGATTAATAAATGTACAAATTATATGTCTGAACAAACAACATTTAATCAGATTTATACTTAAACCACTGTAAAAGAACACAGGTATCTCATGCACATGTAACTCAGTTAGGACAGGTATCTCTCAAGAAACCCCTGTAAACACACACAGGTATCTCTCTTGAAACCCCTGTAAACATACACAGATATCTGATACACATGTAATTCAGTTAGGACGGGTATCTCTCTTGAAACTTCTGTAAACACACACAGGTATCTCTCTTGAAACCCCTGTAAACACACACAGGTATCTCTCATGTACATATATCTCAGTTAGGACAGGTATCTCTCTTAAAACCCCTGTAAACACACACAGGTATCTCTCTTGAAACCCTTGTAAACATACACAGTTTTCTGATACACATGTAACTCAGTTAGGACAGGTATCTCTCTTGAAACTCCTGTAAACACACGTATTTCTCTTGAAAGCCCTGTAAACACACACAGGTATTTCATGTACATGTAACTCTGTTAGGACAGGTATCTCTCTTGAGTATAAATCCCCAATTCCGACTTGGAAACAACCAAGCCGACTTGGAGATCAGGCTTGTGCACAATTCAGAATTGAATTGAGAATGACTGTTGAATTCCTATTCAATTCTTGAATTAGGGGCCAAGCCCCGAAGGGGCTGAGGCACCTATTGTATCTGTTGGTTTTCTTATTATTATTCCGCAAATGGGAGTCTATGGCAGCCCTATGAACCGTAAGTAGGAAAATGATGAAATTTGGCACACTTGTAGTGATGCTAATGAATAGTAATTGTACCAATTTTTGACCCTCTAGGACCAACTCTATAGCGCCACCAGCAGTTCAAAAATTCAACATTGAAATGGTTATAACTTTTGAACCCTTTGCTCTAGAGACATGAAACTTAGTACACCTGATTCCTCTCATTGTGCTGATCAAAACCAATACTGTACATTAAGACCCCGCCCAATACAGTAGTGGCCATTTTGAAATACAGTTCTCAGTTTTTTCGCTACTCCTCCTTCATATTTTGTCCAATTTTCTCCAAACATGCACTCAAATGATCTTTGGGCTGAGCTGCATAAAAGTACTGTTCCCATTTTTTTTATTCATCTTTGTTCAAAAGTTATGCTGTCGCAAACTTAACGAGGTCCACCCAAAATTGGCTAAGAGGCTGTATCTCGGCAAAGAAAATTGGTAAGCTTCATCGGAACCATGTTCTGAGGTTCCATGCCAAATTTGGGAACAGCGCCACCTACGGGTCGTGAGATATGCAAAATTGCTATTTTGGCCAATAACTTTTGAACACTTTCTCAGAAAATCATAATTGTGGTATCTATGGATTCCTTGCGTCATGCCGAATCCGTGGATATCGACGTTGCCATGACGGGATGTACCCTGTGTCCGCCATTTTTAATTTTGTCATAATTTGGAATATCTTTTAAACTATTTGAAATTTCTTCACCAAATTTGGTATAAATCACCATTCGCATGGCCCGGAAGTACCTGAGAAGTTTGGTCACAGCGCCACCTATTGTTCCAGAGATATCATTGTTTTTTGAAAAAAACGCTTATAACTTTTGCTAACATTGCTTTAAATTTGATTTCTATATTTCAAAATATTCCTTGGCTTACGCCGATTTCAACAATATGTCATATGTTACTTTTAAACAATGTGACTGGCCGCCATATTGGAGCGAATATGAAACAGTTTTTTCGCTACTCCTCCTTCAAATTTTGTCCAATTTTCTCCAAACATGCACTCAAATGATCTTCGGACCGAGCCGCATAAAAGTACTGTTCCCGATTTTTTTTATTCATCTTTCTTCAAAAGTTATGGTGTCGCAAAATGAACAAGGTTGACCCAGAGTTGGATCAGAGGCTGTAACTTGTGATCAGTTTGTCACAAAATCATAAAATTGGTATCTATCGGTTCCCTGCGTCCTGTCGAGTCCAAGGATCTGTATTTTGCCAGGATTGAATATGAATAAAAATATAAAGGTTTAAAAAGTTACATAGTGTTGATTTAAAACAAGAAATTAAGTAAGAAAAATAAACTTAAAGGGTTAGTTCACCCAAAAAATTACTCAACCTCATGTTGTTTCAAACCTCTATGTGTTAATTTGTTTTGCTATACACAAAGGAAGATATTTGGAAGAATGTTTAATCAAACAGATCTCATTCCCCATTGACTACCATAGTATGTATTTTTTCTATAAAAAAATTAATAAATATTTAATTCAAGATATATAACAGTTTATAACACGTCTTGATGTTATGATGTTGTTTCTCATGTAAATGTATCTTGTGTTTAGGATGTTTATACCATTTGACAACCAGACAAACATATTGATACAGCAGCATTACACATTCATATTGAACGTTTTCATCACGTAAAAAAAAATCATTCGCAAAAAAAAACAAAACATCTAATTTCCCTCCAAACTGACAAATAACAGATTCAACCAGCGAACAATGAAACAAGTTAATGCCCATCTGCCATGCCCAGCCCTGATAAACGTGCCTGCTTTGTGTTTCACAATGAGAAATGAAATAGAGTGATGAACTGCTGCAGAAAATCCACATCAAACCTTACCCGCTTCATTCACACACCACAAACACTGATGGAGCGGCAAGAGACAAGACAATCTGAGACAGACAATGGAGAAAGAGTGGCTGTGTTCTTAAACCTAGTGAGCTCCCTTGACGTTTACTGCCTGTGAAGGGAGCTATAGTGTAAGGAAGCATCCTAATGCTAATGGAACATCATTGACTCAATGCACAGTTGATTCCAATGGAGTTCGCCTCTTGCAATAAGCTGCAAGGAATCACCTTCGGTACCAGTATGTTGTTTTAGTATTCTTTATATTCTATTATATTATTTATTTATTTTTTATTTTAATTTTTTTTTTTTTTTAATTTTAAGTTTTATTTAGCAAAAACAACACTGAGTGGGTTGAAAAACAGTTTACTTCTTGTTTTAATTATGTTCAGATATTTATTTTTACTCTACAACAAGACAAAATATACAACAAAATATACCTTTTTATGAAGCCTTCACATGTTGGCAGCTCACTAGATTTTGGAACAGAGTTATAATGTGTCAAGTATACATGGCTGGTCAAATACACACACACACATACACACATCTGTTCATTACTATTTTTTATATCTATGAGTCATTTTGGCCTCTTTTGTCTCCAAAAGCGGTAAGGAAATGCAGGATTAATTGTCTTTCTATCCTGTCAGTCACAGAATGAACGAGAAAATTAAAACATGGAGTTTTTAATTTATTTATTAATTCTTAGTGAAATGATTCACGTAGAAGAGAGACAGACAGACCGAGAGAGGGAGGGACAGCGAGTGAGTGGAGGCGTCGGGCGGACGAGGGAACGCTGGGATGAGTTTTATCTCTCTGTTGCATGTGTGAGCTGAGCTGGAGCTGCAGCATTGACACGCTGTCAGCCCTTTAACAGCAGAAATCAAGCCTTGCTCTGTTTTCTCCAGATTTCTCATACTTTTTCACTTAGATTCAGTTTACTCTACTGTGTTTTTGTTTGTTTGTTTGTTTCTAATGGAGAATGGAGGTCTTCTCATCAGAAATCACACATATGAAATGAAGATCTGTGGCCATTTTGCATAAACTTCACATCTAAAGTTTGACAATCTCACTGATCTGTCATTCTAATATGTGCAGCATTATCATAATGAAAAACTGTTATGTTATTAAATGATTTGTTTTTGATAACTAAACGTATGATGAACAATAAGTCAACATGCTAAAAGTCTGTAAATGAAAGTCAATCTAGAGCATGTTTTTTTTTTTTTTTTTTTTTAACAGGTGAACAGATATGAAATATAACTAACAAGACGGTATCTTGAATATGCACTAATTTACATAAATCTGAAAGCCAGGTTCAAAATTAGTTTGATTTTGTTAACAAATTAGAGGTATAGTTTTTTTTTTTTGTTTGTTTGTTTTATACAGAATGTATTTTGCATATTTATTTGTTATATGAACAAGCACCTCTAAAAAACATAGATAGTAAGATAGATAAATATACAGATGCAAATGGATGAAGTGCAATAAAATAGCATCCCCCCCCCCTAATTTAATTGTATTTTTGTATTAAATACAAACCAAGTATTTTGTTTTATACTTGGTTTGTATTTAATACTTTAGCATCCATATAGCCAAGTGCTAAAAACACAGCTCACAGTCCTCCGTAGTCGTCTTGTTCTCACTGTGTTCTGTATGTTGTGCTGTTTTCGCAGGTATTCCAGGAAGCGATTACATCAACTCAAACTACATTGATGGTTACCGCAAACAGAACGCCTACATTGCTACACAAGGCGCGCTGCCGGAGACCTTCGGCGATTTTTGGCGTATGATCTGGGAGCAGCGAAGTGCAAATATTGTCATGATGACCAAACTCGAGGAAAGATCCAGGGTACGATTTGCTGCGACATCACTACTAATCTGTTGATTTGATTAGCTTACACTGTTGTCTGTTCACACCCAACGTGACAAATCAATCACAAATCAGTCAGAAGAGCGTGTGGATGGAGTCTCTCTCCAAGCGTACTGCTGTCTCGCAATTAAATTGATAAGTGTTTAAATTAACAACATTTTGACATTATTTAAAACTTTGTCACGTGTTTGTTGCTATTAGAATGTGTCAGTTAATCAATACTGGATTTAGTTTCAATTTGCAGTACCGTTTTTGAATGAATAATTAATTGCTTATTTTTGGACAAACAACAATAAAACAATTAATTTAATAATTATTATTTTTATTAATGGAACTTGTAATGAATATTGTACAGGAGTGTTGCATTATTTATTTTTTACTATTAGACTATTTACTATTAACTATTAGATATGTTTGACAAATTATTATCTCGCATAAAATAAACCTAATCTAAAATTATACATCAAAGCCGTGATTTTTTGTTGTAATATAATTGTAAAGAAATATTAATTATTAACTAAAGTTAAATGTCACACAATTTGCATGTACATTTTTTCAAGGAAAAACATACTGTATATCATGGAAATATAGATCTTATAAATCTAAATGCGTAATTATATTGGAAATAAACTAACAAATTAAGATTTATTGGCAAATAACTGACAATCACACAAACCGGGGTGTTAAACTGACTTTAGTAACAGTTTTGGGGAAAAAAATGCAAACATCATATAAATAGAAAATAAACAGCTTAAAAAATATTTTGTTTCTCCTCCTAATGTTTTTCTGATGGTAAAGCATCTTTTTGTACTGACTGTTTGTTCTGGCCCTATTTCATACCCTATTTGTGAAAAGCACACAACCATTTTTCTTTTAACAAATTACATAAATTATTGGCAAATTTAACTGTTTTCAAACAGAGGTTTAAAAGCTTTTGTCGTTTTTGTCAAACTGATTGCTGGTCTAATTAATATAATCCATGTCATCCACAATTTTTGCAAATTTTACTCACATTTCATTTAATCTTTTCCTCATTTGCACCATTGGTGTGTGTGTGTGTGTGTATGTGTGTGTTTTCTCAGATTCCTTCTAATTTATTCTCTAAGCCAAGCATCATGTCGTTTTCAGCTGTCATTATGAGTTGCAGAATTTAAATTCTTGATTTTCCTGCATTTATTCTTTGTGATCTGAATTCTCCTTTGCATGAATCCATGGACTGATGCTTCTGCTCTGTCTTGCTGGTCTAATCTTTAAAGATGGACTGGAGGGTCACATAAAGCAGCTCTCCTGCGGTGTGGCCATAATATGCAGCCTCTCATGGTTTCAGTCATGTAGCGCTGGAACGTCTTGATGCATTTTAATGAGTACAGCGACAAGATATTCTCAGCTAAACAACGTCTTTACGAATATGTTATCAGCAGAATATAATCTTTAAGATCCTGCTCGTTTGCATTTAGACAGACCTGCATTGAACATGCGACGCACGTCGATTTTCTTTTTGTAACCGTGTTTTCAGTCTTTTTTATTATTTTCCTCCTGACAGCGTGGCTGCCGTACAGTAATGTGACGCTATTTTATAGGGACTTACAATGCAACCAACATCTATAATGGTAAAAAGGCCCCAGCTTTAATGTGATTGGGAAAGAGCGCTTGAGATAGTAATTATAGCGTCTGTCAGGCTCATGAAAAACCCACTCGTTGTTGAGAAATCCGCTTGTCAGCAGGAAATTGGAATTGTGTTGCTCGCTGCAGTTATTCTCTTGCTTTAAATGGACTTGATGTATGTTTGCTGCTGCAGGTTTGATGGAGATGTGTGTGTGTGTGTGTGTGTGCGTTTGCAGGTGAAGTGTGACCAGTACTGGCCAAACAGAGGGACAGAGACGTACGGACTCATTCAGGTCACGCTGCTAGACACTGTCGAGTTGGCGACGTACTGCGTCCGAACGTTTGCACTTTACAAGGTATGTGAGTGTTTCACGGATCATTCACCCAAAACTGAAATATTTCATCTGTGCTGTGAGGGTTTTACTCTTCATTTCAGAACGGCTCCAGTGAGAAGCGGGAGGTGCGGCAGTTCCAGTTTACGGCGTGGCCGGATCACGGCGTTCCAGAACATCCCACGCCATTCCTGGCCTTCCTGCGCAGGGTCAAATCATGCAACCCGCCAGACGCTGGACCAATGGTGGTGCATTGCAGGTCTGAAGAGATCTCTTTCATTGCTTTTACATTATTGTTTTATTTATATTTATATTATTAGTAACACAATGAAAATTATCATGAAACTCCAACAATGATTTGTAATATGCATTAAATATTGTTGCTAACATGTAAATATTTTATTGTTACGTATAGTACACCATTAAAAAATGAGAAATTAATGCTTTTATTCAGCAAGGATGCATTCAGTTGATCAGAAGTGACAGTAAATATGAAGAGTTCAGATGCAAAAGCCTCTAAGTGCCATTTGAAATTTTCTTCTAGAATGATCATTTTTATCAAGCTTGTATATTTAAGTTCAGTGATTTCACTTAAATGGCAATGATAATTACCTATTAATTGTTATTTAAGTGAAATTACTTAACTTAAATATACAAGTTTGATAAAAATCATCATTAAAGAAGAAAATTTCAAATGGCATTTAGAGGCTTTTGCATCTGAACTCTTCATATATTTATAATATTACAAAATATTTATATTTCTAATAAATACCGTTCTTTTATATTTTTTTCACACAAATATTTAGCAAAAAAAACTTTTTTTTAAATAAATAAAATATTTTGTATATTTGAGCAGCAAATCAGCATATTAGAATGATTTCCGAAGGATCAGGTGACACTGATGACTGGAGTGAGGATGATGAAAATTCAGCTTTGTATTCAGGATTGCATTTTAAAATGCTTTCACATAGAACATTTATGTTTTTAACTGTTTTTACTGTATTTTTTGAACAAATAATTGCAGCAATGATGAACAGAAGAGTTTTTTTTTCAGAAACATTTAAATGGTAATGTTTCCAAATCCCGATTTCATCTTTTTTTCCAAACAGCAGAATTCATATTAATGTACTGATATCTGAAGTAGAAAACTGAGGGGAAAAAAAATTATTGGTCAATTCCTTTCTTGGTCTCAAGTTTTAAACATACACTTCGTCTGTGTGTCTCTGTACAAAGAAACATGATTTTGGTGCATGGCATAACATGAGGCACTCTTGCATTTATGGAAAACCCAGATATGAAACCATCTGTTAAATTCCCCTCTAAGCGAAAGCAGCACAAAAAAAAAAAAAAAACATCAGGCAGCAAGAGGCATGCAAAAAAGACAAGCCACAAGCTTCCATCGGAAAACTGCCAGATAGAAAACAAGGATTAGTAAACCCTTAAAAATAACACATACGGCAGTTAATTAGAGCTCCCAGCGGAGCGCCTGAAATTGAAAAAAAAATCCTTATTTCCCCTCTTTTCTCTAGCTGGCTTGCGTGCTGAATACGGGAATTAATATCATTCATTGGGACGGAGACTTTGAATTCCTTTCGGCTCAGATCAGATAACGACTCGACAGTGAGACTTTAATCCTTTCAAAAACACCGTCCCCCCTCCGCGAGCTCTCGCCTGACCATTAAAAAACCTCATTCTTTCATTTCGTGGCTGGTGTCAGAAAGTTGACGCATCCTTCGGGAAGAGCAGAGAAAGTTTTAAGCTTTGCATATGATGTGCTAACGTGTGGGCAGGAGATTATATGTGCTGTTTGTCAGGCAAAACACAAGAACTTGTGAGTTAGTATTCTCACTGAAAGCATTTGTCGCTTTAAACGATTCGCCTAGCAAAGAATGGACATTCATACTGCATACGCTTAATGCTTTTGTGAAATCTGACGAATCGATGCTGATAGCCACGTATATACTCTCGCTCTGGGCAGTGTTAGCCGTAAAGAGGGTGTTTACCCCTGTCACCTGTAACCCACGGCTCGCCGCAGACACACAGCCAGTCAGCCGTTATTGCAACAAAAGAGAAAGTCCATCCATTCGCATGATTGAATGTCACAGAGATCACTGACCGAGACACGGGCGGAGGGCTTGTGAGGGGTAAATCTGACACAACAGTGATTTCTAAAGGATGTTTGAGTGAATCTCATGAAACCTGTCAAGAACATACCCTCATCACTTTCAGCATTAAAATTGAAGTTGGATAAAGAAAAGACAGTCTTGCTAAAATCAGTGGATATTTCAGGATAGTTTAAGTCAGTTTGTTTAGTTTATTTAAAGTGGTCATATTAGGCTACTATGCTTTTATGTTAAACTTTCTTTAGTGTGTAATGCTGCTGTTTGAGCAAGAAAAAGGTCTGATGCCTGGTTTTGTTGCATTAGTAGTAGTGGTCGACCGACATTGAATTTTTAGATGGCCGATACCGATATCTTAGAGAGCAGGGTACCCGCGAAATCATGAATAATAGGTAGTAAACACTGAGTTGCACACTGGGAATATAGTATTTCTTTCCTACTACAGAATGGAAGTCAATGGGGAAATCATGAATGGAAATCAACTGTCTGGTTACTGACATTCTTCAAAATATCTTCCTTTGTGTTCAGCGGAAGAAAGAAATTCATACAGTTTTGCAAAAACTTGGATTAGTAAATGATGAAAAAAAAAATGTTGAAGTGAACTATTCCTTTAAGTTTATTTATGCTTGTTCATCTTGTGTGATCTCTGAAGCTAAGCGAGGTTGAGGCTTGAGGTTGAGGTACACGGATGAAGCTCTGGTTTTTCCCCACAATCCAAATACAGTTGTCTATTGGAGACACTAAATTGTCCTTAAGAACGAGTGCATGGGATTATGCTTATTGTAATTCATTCTGGGTTTGCCTTATGTGGTAATAATATATGTGATGCTGCTTTGGAATTTGGCCAAAAAGAGCTGAAATAATAATAAGAATCCAGAATTAGACTTTGTGAATGGCCTCTGTCGGGAGCTCCTCAAAATGGGTTTTGGAAACTTTATGTATTTATTAATGAAAGTTCTATGTGTGTTATTCCTGTTAAAGTGTGTCGTTGCTTAAGAATTCTCACTCTGCTCATGTTTTCACGCAGGAAGAGCACTAATATGAGCGTATGTAGTCTTTAATGAAGGGCTCTGATCTCAGGTGTCGGTGGTTGACGTCAGCTGCGGCGCTTCAGAAAGTTAGCAAAGCGTTGGCCTCTTCAAAGTGATGGAAAGAGGAAAGTAGATGGAGGCTTTTAGAGTCTGTACTCTTTTCCTCTGATAGCGAGCACAAGTGTACAGCAATCAAACCGAGTCAAGAACGGCTTCATCCACTCGGCAGAATCTCTGCCATTAAATACTGTTTTACTGCAGCAAATTTTTTGCGTTTATGAAAGAAATACTGTGCAACTTTGGCACACCACTCACTATGTTAACATGTGTACCAGTAATGTGATTATTTCCAATAATCAGCATAAGGACTTATTGCAATAAGATGTTGGAGACGATTAATTACTCTGATGATTCGCTAAGAATTGTGGTTATTTTTACCGCCATTTTTTTACATAACAATACACAGCACAAATGATGAACTCAGACACTGTGTTACTGGCCTATGTTTTAATCTATTTGTGGCAAAAATGCAGAACACGTTTCTATGGATGTATAATTTCGATGTTTTTAACCATGAAAATATATGGCGGCAAATCAATGCCTAAAATAACCAAGCACAGAACTGATGCTGGCGCCCACGGTAATTGACTTCCCGGGAGAGGATAACAGATCTACACATGAGGAAACAGGAACTCGCGAGGTCATTCAAACCCTGCACGTGCGCATGACATCTTTTCTGCACAAAATTATACAAGCCCTTGCACACACATGATCATTCCCCTCGATCTGCTCTCGCCTGCTGCTTTCACTTGCTCGAACACTTTTATTTTTGGGCGGGACTTACTGTTTTAATAATCTCAAAGTCATTGGTTATTTACGGAAGTCAGTCCAGGGAACCCGTAATTCACTGGACTTGAGACATGAAACATCACTTAATTTGTTTTATTTATTGTGGTTTATTAATGTGTAATGTGATTTAATGCATTGTTAATATAGAATTCTTACCAGATTATTTATTGTGTTAAAGGAGTTGTTCACTTTAAAAAAAAAAAAAAAAACTTTTGCTGATGATTACTCAAGATCCAAGATGTCCATGTCTTTCTTTCTTCAGTCGAAAATAAATTAAGGTTTTTGATGAAAACATTCCAGGATTTTTCTCCATATAATGGACTTCACTGGGTATCAAACTGTTCAAGGTCCAAATTAGAGTTTCAGTGCAGCTTCAAAGGGCTTTAAACGATACCAGACGATGAATAAGGGTCTTATCTAGCGAAACGATCGGCCATTTCAAAAATAAATAAAATACTTTAAGTTTTATAAGCACAAACACTCGCCTTGCTCTGTTCTGTGATGCACGTTCGTGACTCTCCTGTTCAAACTCGTTCATCAAAATGAACAAATCTTTTTTTCGAGTTATTTGGTTCATTCAATTAACGAAATGACTCGAAAAAAGATTAGTTCATCTTGGACATCTTGGATGACAAGGGGGTGATTAAATTATCAGCAAAAGTTGAACTACTCCTTTAAGAGATATTTACAGACTGTAATGATGCATTTCCATGGTTATTAGCATTAGAAATGTACCAAAATTATTATAGATTTTTACGTAATATAAAATATTAATTATATTTTATATCAAATGTAAAAGGGGTTATGGCTTCTGGATGCACACAAGGGTTTGAATGAGCTCGCGAGTTCCCGTTTCCATGTGCTTCAGCATCAGTTGTGCGCTCAGTTATTTTAGGCATTGATTTGTCGCCATAAAAATACTGCATTATATTCATGTCAACATGAACTCAGTTTCTTCAGCACCCTAATATTACAATGCCTTTTACGGACCTGCACATGATAATGTCCAGTTCTCATCCCAAGGCGTCATATACTGATGCTTTTGACAATACGTAGACATCCAACGCACATTAGCGTCAATATGAGACGCAGATATATATGGGGCAGAGGGCACCTCCTGGTGGTCTAACCCTACCCCAGACCTAAACTTACCCATACTCTGTGCATGTTATATTGACGCTAAAGGGTGCCATGTGCGTTGGATATATGATGCATTGGGATGAGAATGCATTGTAATATCACATGTGCATATTTGCACTATTCAGAGTGGAATAGATGCGATTAAAGTGTTAACATACCTTTTTATTGAGATTAAATTCAGCATGCAACACGCAGCATGCGTTATATTGCCTAAATCTCTTTGTAATTTCATTATGTAACCATGTAAACATGATCTTTGACAATGAAACTAATCAAACCACCTTAACACAAACTACACAACACACAAATCCTCTGTCCTCTTTTTTCTCATCCGTCACGGCTGACAGTGCCGGTGTGGGTCGGACTGGCTGCTTCATCGTCATCGACGCCATGCTGGAGCGAATTAAACATGAGAAGACGGTAGACATTTACGGTCATGTCACGCTCATGCGTGCACAGAGGAACTACATGGTCCAGACGGAAGACCAGTACGTCTTCATTCACGACGCGCTCCAGGAGGCCGTCACTTGCGGGACCACTGAGGTTCCCGCCCGGAACTTGTACGCCTACATCCAGAAGCTCACGCAGATCGAGTCCGGAGATAATGTTACCGGAATGGAGCTAGAGTTTAAGGTAAGATGGATGTTACCAAACTCAATCTCAGAAGCTCTGTCTTTCTCTCTGTCTGTCTGTCTGTTCGTCCATCCATCCTTCCATCTATAAATCTGTCTGCCTGTCTATCATTTTATCAGTCTGTCTGTCCTTATACTTTTTCATAGAAGAAAACTGTTTGGATGAATAGGTTCACAAAAAGGCTAAAATAGTGCAGTTTCTTGTTTAGTTTATCTGTCTAGTGTCCTATCCACTGACACATCTGATTACTAGATCAAACTACCATCTGAAGACAAGGGGCCTTGAAACGGTGTGATCATGTCACATAAGCTCTGGCTCCTCCTTCCTGGAAAGACTGCAGTAGCCACAGGAAGCTGCTTGTCTCTCTTCTGTTATTCAACCCCGCCACATTTTACATGGCCTGTAGTTTCTGTAACAGAAATCTATTTACCCAGAGTAAGAAGGTGATCGAATGTCATGCCACATCATGATCACTCAGCAAGCAAAGCCCCAGCCCTGGAGTTGACCCCGCTGGTGAGGCTTTGGCTGCTGGTGTTTGGACTGTCTCAGCCCACCACACGCCGGCTCTCCAGCTCTCTCTCCACCGGCCGCAGAGACAGTGTGGGGCCTGTGGTTTCTTCTTCAGGAGCCCAGAGATCCCTACACCGTTCTCACACAAGTGCTAAACATTACTTTGCTCACATTTGCTTTCACTCTCTTGTTTTCATGACCAAGTTCAAAACAGTTAAAGACATTAAACATCTGCTGAAACGCTGTTTGTGTTCAAGCACTGGTTTAATGTCAACATACTGAAATCAACTATTTCTGTCTGTTTATCTATCTGTCTGTCTATCTGTAAATCTTAAAAATCTAGTAAATCTAGTAAATAGTAGTACATCTGAAAGCATTCAGTTTGCATCTCAGATTACTCTTAAACTACCCACAAAAGTAAACTATCCACAAGGCCTTAATAAACTTAATACGTCTTCAGCATCATATCAAATCACTATCTATACAAACTTCGTTTTTATTTATTTTTTAATGTTGTTTACCATTTGTTCCATGCAGCGGTTAGCTAACACAAAAGCTCACACCTCACGGTTCATCAGTGCCAACCTGGCCTGCAACAAATTCAAAAATCGACTGGTTAACATCATGCCCTACGAGTCCACGCGCGTCTGTCTGCAGCCAATCAGAGGAGTTGAGGGCTCCGATTACATCAACGCCAGCTTTATTGATGGATACAGGTGAGCAGAAAAGCCTAGATCTGTCTGTCTGTCTGTTTGTGCATGTGAATATAATGGTAAATGTTTTTCCTCTTCCACTGTATCGTCAGGCAACAGAAGGCTTACATTGCAACGCAGGGTCCTTTAGCCGAAACCACAGAAGACTTCTGGAGGATGCTTTGGGAACATAACTCAACCATCATAGTGATGCTGACCAAACTCAGAGAGATGGGCAGAGTGAGTATTTGGCAACTGCTCATCCAAACATCTAAATCTGTATCACAATCAGACTAAATGTTGTCCTTGTATGTGGGATAAATGTTGGTTCTTGCAACTGGACATTGTGCAGATGGGGGAAGATAAATAAACTTAACTGAAAAAATGTAGGCCTACTCTGTAATGAAAATAAAAAGGTTTTGTGAAGTACATTGAAACTAAAAACATGAAAATGTTCACTCAGAGATAGCTAGTGAATTTAACAAACAATTGCAAAGAGATGGTAACATATTTTAAAGTAAAAAAATAATAATATTTAAATACATTTTCTGGAGACAAACAGCAAAAATGGAGATGAAAAAAACAAACTCTTCTATCTTCTATCTCAGCAACTCTCACACCTTTTTAAGGACATAAAAAAGACAAAAATACTCTTGCCAACACTACAGGCTACAATCACAATTCAAAATGGTCACATGATTTAAACTTCAAATTTATTTAAACATCAAAATACCACAATAACGATTTGAATGCCCCCGGAGACGTCTGCCAAGAAAATTCTCCAAATTTTCTCTGTTTAGAGATGCCGTTATCCTTGTGTTTCTGAAATCAATTTTTTTTTTTTCCAAATACATTTCTGGTGATTATCTTCTCTCAATGATTACTCCTGCCAGTGCTGTTATTTGTACCCTAGCTTACACACTGCTGTATTCTGTCCATCAGGAAAAATGCCATCAGTACTGGCCAGCAGAGCGTTCAGCCAGGTATCAGTACTTTGTTGTGGATCCAATGGCTGAATACAACATGCCCCAGTACATCCTGAGAGAGTTCAAAGTGACAGACGCCAGGGTAAGACGGCAGAACCTTGGAACCTACTGTGATTTGTGTGTTATAGTACATGTTCAGTCTGAGAGGATCTGTGTTCATTATTCTAATTCCCTCAATGCGTTAATTTTGATAACTCCATCTTGCCATCTTATATATGTCTCTGTCTTTTGCGTTGATTATCTTGGATATAAAAAATCACAAAAGAAAGGTGAACTCTCTGAGCTTCTCATCAGGAAAAGCTTTTTCATCCGCCCACATCGGAGGAATTAGTGTCTGGAAATCACTCATTCGCATGCTCAGGTGAAGCACACACGTCTGAGCTGTGGGTGGCTGAAGCCTCATATCCCACTAACAGAAAAACACTGGTGAAACATAGTGTTCTTGGTGTACCATGTATATACCCTGTAAAGACCATAACAATGACGTCGATTGTACCATATCAATCTGAACGTGATGACGAAACATTAGAAGAACTTGTTATTCAACCTGATTCTCCATCGCAAGTTTAGACTTTGGCAGGACGTGTCTCAGTGATATGCACTCAGTTTGAGGTACATTATCAGATGCTGCAACTGTAATTGCTCACCATCAGCATTAACAAGTGTATGTCCATCAACAAACCCATGTGTTTATTTTGAATTTATTGCAATGCACATATGGTAACTGTATTAACTATATCAATAACAGAGCATATGTTAGCCGAGCACTTATGGGAATGACTGATGTAACATTAAAGTTTGTAAAACAAATTTTGCTCCATCGCTTATCTCAAAGTAGTACGAACGACAGGCATTTTGCATTAATAGACAGTTTTAGGCAATTTTAGGCCCACAGCTGATTAGCAGAACTTTTAGTAAGAAAGTAATAACGCGAGTTAGCCAGAAAATTACACAATATATAACACAAAACTATTTATTACGAAAACTCAAGTGTTTGCAAGCGTTTTGCGAATCCAGTGTTGAACTTTGAAATTTTAGAAGCAGTTTTTTTTTTTTTTTTTTTTTTTTTTTTTTTTTTTAATGATGTGTTTGTAGGCGGGACAGCATACAACATAGGTGATAATTATGCAAATGTATTATCTAGTGATTTAGAGCGCAGTGGGATTTGAAATACAGATGACTTTATTAGGCAGTTCAGAGTCGATTCTTTATTTTCTTTATTTCTAACTTTACTTTCAACTTCACAACTGCAGAACATTTACATTTCAACAGCTACACACTGCATGAAAGGGAATATTCAAAGAAACATAATAGGACCACTTTAATGTTACTAAATAAATGCGTCAATTTATAATAAAAAAGGTAACATCTAACTGACCACAAATTTTGAAGGCTTACAAATTTTGAAGGCTTGCTTTCAGTATATATATATTTTTTCATTTATTAATGTTTCTTGGGCTTTTCAACCCTCATTCTGCATGGGTGATGTTCTCATCAGTGTTTGACAAGCGCAGCGTTTGCCACACATAAATGTGAATGTAATGGATTGGTGTTATGCGTCAGGGAGCAGCTGCAGCTCCTTTATGTTGGTTTGTGTCTCTCTCTTCTTTTAGGACGGACAGTCACGGACCGTCAGGCAGTTCCAGTTCACAGACTGGCCAGAACAAGGCGTGCCAAAGTCAGGGGAAGGCTTCATCGACTTCATCGGCCAAGTGCATAAAACAAAAGAGCAGTTTGGTCAGGATGGACCCATATCGGTCCACTGTAGGTAAGAAAGACACAAGTCTATGTGAGGAAAAACAGAGCCTTGCAGATTGTAACTTTCCATCACTACACTAAACTCTTGTCTTTTGTTCTATTTAATGACAAAAATGATCTAATAACAAAAACCTCTTTTTATATTTAAAATTTTATATTATACATTTTTATATAATTCTTATAAAATAAATAAACCATGAAAGGGTGCTTACGTCACTGATTACCCAGATTCTTTTTGTCTGAAGAAGCCGTGCAGGCATGTATGAAGAATCGCAAATAGACACCGCATCTCGTTCCTTTCTCACGTAGGGAACACATAGGTAACCCCAAAGGTTACTTTTCAAGGGAACTTCGAATGTACGTCATGGCATTGTAACCCTTTTGCTATAAGCTATAGATAAACCATATAAGCTGGGTGGTCATTCCAGACCATGAGGGGGGCATCCATTGTAACCCTTGCAATAGCAAAATGCCTCAAGCATGAGAACCAAGGTTGAAGCCGTGGTCTGTCTACAAGCAACTGTGCATAACCCTGTGACCCAAAAAGGATAGCTCCTTAGGGTAAGACACTAGATGATCATCCAGGACCACTATGAGTAAGGTGTCCACCATAGCAACAACGACAACATGTGGGACTCAAGTTTGAAGCTAGAGTCTGACTACATAGTTCCTCTAAAGGATATCTACTCCTTGGCCCAGATCAAGGACTGCTGTGCCAACCTGAACAGGGGACGCAAACTCAACCTCCCCTGGTGATTTATACACATGTACATGTTCTGGAGTCACAATGGAGCCAGAGTCACATCCTTGCGCTTTGTGAAGGTGCAAGGCAATAAAGGAAGACTGAAAGGTAGAACTCCATATTGGTATACTTCAATATATATGCTATGTATGCTATGCACAATTAACACAGTCAGCCCCCGCGAGAACTGTCTGAGTGTTTTCCGCTCCCAAGCAAACAACACAGAGATCGTGTGAGTCATCACCTGTAAGAAAGTGGGGCACCACAGCACACACCTCACAAATTTCTTTGCTTGCCATTCTTATAGTACTCCTATCTACATAAAATCAGACAATCAGGGCATACAATTTTGACAAACTGATGCTGGTGATTTTGGGACCCTTTATGGTCTTGATGGCATGCTAAGCTCCTTCACATGACCTCCATCGGCCAATAAATCATGCTGAAGGCTTTTCTATAGTGGCAACGCCATGACGCAGAGTCGAAGTTCCATCGAAATGGAACTCACTGGCTTTTTAAAAATAAATTTGAATTTAAATCTACTAACACAAATTTATAAAGTGTACTAAAATAAACATCTAAATGTGTATTTTGGGTGTTTTCTTTCCACTAATCTAAGTGAAGACATGTTATAAATCAGAACATACCTCAAGACCATGACTAAGACCAGTGTATGAAAGTTATTGGTCACTTTTTTGCATGTTAAAAGAAAACGGTTTGTTATATCAAAAATCCAGTGGGCAAATGTTTTGAGGCATAATATATCTCGATAACTCTTCAGATAATTAAACAGATTACTCTGTGTTTTTGATTGTTTTGTTGAATGTCTCGGCAGTGCTGGCGTCGGCCGGACAGGAGTCTTCATCACGCTAAGTATTGTTCTGGAGCGGATGCGTTATGAAGGCGTGGTGGACATCTTCCAGACGGTCAAGATGTTAAGAACACAGCGGCCGGCAATGGTCCAGACCGAAGTACGTTACATATTCACACTTTGACTTAAAATGCAAACTTGTGAACTGTCAGTTACCCACTACAGTTGCCGCACTTTTTATTGCCTTTCATTCAAAAGCTTAAACACTCTAAATTCATCGTGAAACTGTTTTAAAAACTGAACCATGGAAACTTTACTTACAAAAAAAAACAACATATTTTTTTGTGATATCAACTTCAAATTCAAAACACAACAAAATTATTTTGTAAAATATATATTTTGTATAAAGTAAATGTTTAGTTCAGAACATTTGCTTTAAAATAAACTTAAACTTCACTTCACTTTTGCAAATAATGTGTCCTCTTTAAAAAGAAACCAACATTAGATCTGTATTCCAAATCGTTCTTAAATTACATTTAAGTTCAGTTCAAGACAGTTAGACTAAATCAGGATCAAAAAATACTTTCTCTTCCTCAAGCATTAAGCATCGTATTACATTAAAACTGCTAATAACATGCAGGTCAGTATAGTGATTCATCTTTCAGATGTCCTCTGTAATTTTAGTTAGATGAGACACGTGTGCATTGAGTTTGTGACACTGATGAGGAAAAGAATGTGACTTTGTTCGGCCCGCAAATGCTCATTCTCATTTATAACTACAAACCCTTCAGGTTAGCCATGCAAATTGGTTCAGATAAGCAATTTCACAGCTAACCCACACAATGGCCTTTTGCAGCGTCAATGGGGTAAAATTATTTTCCACGTTCAATGCGACAGCGAAGTGATGAGGCTCGAATATCACGCTTGGCACAACACAATCCCTCCTTTTCACCTCAGAGCACCAGCGTGATGCGCGACACACAAGCGGCGACATTAGAGCTGCGCGCGCAAGCCTTCACGTCTCAGACCGCTGAGCTGCTGTGTTGCTATGGAGATGAGAGGAGCCACGCATCCGTGAATTAACCGAGAAATCCATAAAATCTGCTCAGAAGATGTCACATTACATCACTGATGTGCTTTACCAAAAGATTGCATTTCAAACATTGAGTCAGTTTCTTTCTGTTTAAATCCTGCTTAGTTTTTTTTATTTATTTTGCAATAATAATAATGTCATTGGATTTTTTTTAACTACCTATCATATACACTTCTCAGTAAATCCCCTATGAAAGCTAGTGAACTCCCAGAAAAAATCTTTTTCGGAAGAGTTTTCTGTTCCCAACTTTCTGTTATATCAGTGAATGCACATTTATTAAGAACAAAATGTATGACCATATAATCTAGTATTTTGTCTTTATTAATTCTATCTATATAATATTAGATAATACAGTTGTGGTCAGAATTATTGTCACCCCTGGTGAATATGAACAAAGATGGCTGTAAAAAAATAAATCTGCATTGTTTATCCTTTTGATCTTTCATTCAAAATATGTGCAAAAACCTTTCATTCAAGAAAAAGATTTGAAAAAAGTGGGGTTAAATCAAATTCTAAAATAAATGTTGTTAAATGTTCACCTCAATAATTTCACACCAGTGTGACTATAAACATGAAATCGTCTTGTTATGCCGTTTTATTTCACAGGAGTATAAATATGAGGAAACACAAAGGCCAAATTCCCTTAATCATCCATCCATAAGTAAAACCAAATAATATATTTCGGATGTGCAGAAAAAGATTGTTGAGCTTCACAAATTAGAAAATGGCTGAAAGACATTAGCTAAAACATTGAGAATTCCCATTTCCACCATCAGGGCAATAATTAAGAAGTTCCGATCAACTTAAGATGTTACAAATCAGCCTGGAATAGGACGTGTGTCTATATTGTCTTAATGCACAGCAAGGAGGAACGTTTGAGTGGCTGAAGACTCTCCAAGGATCATAGATGGAGAATTGCAAAGATTTGTTGAGTCTTGGAAAGAAAGCCAAAAAAAGCCTTAGAAAAATCCTCCTCGCTCATACAAAAACAAACTCCAGCATATTCAGATGTCAGACACGACTGGAACTTCAAAGGGGACTAGATTCTATGGTCAGATGAAACAAAAGAAAAAGAGCTTTGATTGAACGAGTTTGGTGCAAAAAGGGATAAAAAAAAAGTACCCCATGCCCAAGGTTTAAATATACTGCTGGATATTTAATGTTGTGGCCCTATTTTTTTGCTGGTGGTCATGGGTATCTTGTTCAGATACATGGTGTCATGGATTCTAGAATATACCAACAGATGTAAAATCATATAAGATCTGGTTGGATTTTTTCTCAGCTAAGGAAAAAAAATCGCACTTATCCAGCCCGTGGAGTGGAATGGCGAGCAAGCGAAGACACCTGAGCGGGTCCAGTACTGGCCGGTTGAGCGAGTACAAGAGAGGACACAGGCTCCACTCGAAGATTATTGAATCTTGCGAATGTGTTAGGTGTCGCCCAGCCTGCAGCTCTGCAGATGTCTGCTTGCGAAGCGCCATGCGCTAGAGCCCAAGAGGAAGCCATACTCCGGGTGGAGTGGGCCATCACACCAAGGGGGCACGGTCAACCTTGCTGCTGTGTCCACAATCCAGTGAGACAGCCGCTGCTTTGAGAGAGCCCTTCCCTTCTGGCTCCCACCATAACAGACAAAGAGCTGGTCTGAGGTCCTGAAACACAGCGTTCTGTCTACGTAAGCCCGGAGGGCACGTACTGGACAGAGCAGTGCCAAGGCTGGGTCTGCCTCCTCCAGGGGCAGCGCTTGCAGGTTCACCACCTGGTCCCGGAAGGGAGTGGTAGGAACCTTGGGCCCATATCCGGCTAGGGTCTCAGGATCAATTGAGAGTAGGCCGGCCCAAACTCCAGGCATGCTTCGTCAACGGAGAATGCATGTAGGTCCCCTACCCTCTTGATGGAGGCCAGTGCAACCAGGAGCGCTGTCTTTATTGACAGGAACTTAATCTCAACTGATTGCAGAGGCTCGAAGGGAGGCCTCTGCAGGGCACTTAAAACCACTGAGAGGTCCCAAGAGGGTACGAGAGGAGGGCGAGGAGGATTCAGTCTCCTCGCTCCCCTAAAGAACCTGATGATCAGGTCGTGCTTCCCCAAAGACTTACCTTTCACTGCTTCATGAAATGCGGCTATAGCATCCACATAGACTTGGGTGGAGGGAGACAGCCTTCGCTCCAACCCTACTTGCAGGAAGGAAAGCACGACCCTGATCGAGCATCTCCGGGGGTCTTCTCTGCGAGAAGAGCACCAGTTGACGAAGAGGTTCCACTTCAACGCATAGACGTGTCTAGGATGGAGTCGCCATTCGGCAGAGACTGGACGGAACCGTGACAGCTCGTCGGCTGCCAGGTTCTGCTCTCCTGGAATGTAAATAGCACGAAGGGACCTCAGGTGCTTCTGACTCCATAATTCTCGGGTGGCGTGCGAGTTGCGACATCCGACGTGAGCGCAGACCACCCTGGCGGTTGATGTACGCTACTGTTGCGGTATTGTCTGAACGGACTAGTACGTGTTGACCCCTGAGCAGTGCTCGAAAGCGGTGCAGGGCAAGGTGTACTGCCAGCAACTCGAGGCAATTGATATGCATAAGGCGCTGGGGTCCTGTCCAGGAACCCGCGGCTGCATGTCCATTGCACATGGCTCCCCAACCCGTGGCAGAGGCATCTATGGAGACAACAACATGCCTGGAACTCGCTGCAGCCCGTAAAAAGGTAAAAAGGTTCGTCCACGGGAAGAAGGTCTGACGGCAGGTCGGAGTTACTGGAACTCTGAGCGTACCGCGATGCCATGCCCACCTCGGGACTCGATCGCGAAGCCACAGCTGAAACAGTTTCATATGAAGCAATCCGAGCTGTGTTGCCGCGGCTGCGGATGCCATATGCCCCAGGAGCCTCTGAAAAAGTTTCAGTGGGACCGCACTCTTGCCCTCGAACTGTCAGCAGTGAGTGTGCGCGCTCACTCGTGAGCTGCGCGGACATGGCGACCGAGTCTATCTCCATACCTAGAAAAGAGATCCTCTGCACGGGGCAAAGTTTGCTTTTCTCCCAGTTGACCCGAAGGCCCAGACGGGTTAGGTGCCGGAGCACAAGGTCTCTGTGTTCGCAAACCTGATCTCAAGAGTGTGCTAGAATCAGCCAATCGTCAAGGTAATTCAGGATGCGAAACCCGTGTTTGCGAAGGGGAACAAGGGCTGCCTCGACGATCTTCGTAAAGACGCGAGGGGACAGAGCCAACCCGAATGGGAGAACTGTGTACTGACATGCCCGTCCCTCTAAAGCAAACCAAAGAAACAGTCTGTGTCGAGGTAAGATGGAGACATGAAAGTACACGTCCTTCAGGTCCATCGCTGCAAGCCAATCCTGGGGCCGAACGCACTCGAAAATGCATTTGGCCCTAAGCATCACGAACGGCAGTCGGTGAAGGTCTAGGATCGGTCGTAACCCACCGGTCTTCTTGGGGACAATGAAGTAGGGGCTGTAAAATCCTGACCTCATCTCAGCTGGAGGGACAGTCTTGATTGCACCCTTCGCCAGCAGGGTACCAACCTCCGCTCCCATGATCGGGGCATTGCCACCGACCACCTTAAAGCGAACTCCCTGGAGACGGGGAGGAGGAACTGAATCGCATAGCCGAGCCTGATCACTCGGGCGACCCAACGGGACAGATTGGAAAGCTCTAGCCGAGCTCCCAAAACCTGATCCAGTGGAATCATCCGAGCCACAGACATCCCCCCAGAGGGGCAGCGGGGCGGAGAGATCAGCAGACGCGGAGGTATTAACCCCCCGTGGATGCACAATCGAACTCCGCTCCCCGACAGAGGAGACCAGGGAATGACCAGCGTTCCACGGGGGTCTGCTCTGCCGGGTGTTTGGTGATAGAGGGGGATAGGAGTGGCATGGTCCAGGGACGACACACACCCCCATCCCCACCCTCAGAGACAGAGGAGAATGAGAGTGGCGAGGCACGGGGGCATAGCACACTTTCATCTTGCTCTGTGTGCTCATGGATGGGATGCAGCTCTTTCAAGAAAAGATTTCCCCCCCAGCCCTCCACCGGGGGAAGTAGTGGGCCTGCGACCACTCCCTGAAGAACTGCAAGCCACATCTGAGCTGCCCTTAACGGGAGCTACGCAGCAGGGCTGCCGGGCTGGTATGGGCAGGGGCACCTCCCTGCGACCACCTCCACCTCTTAGATCACCCTGGCCACCAGTCGAAGCATTATCTCACGTGGAGAAAATAGTTCTAGTTGTGGATAAGGGGACCCAATGAGCTCAATACCCAATGAGCTCAATCTATTGACCGTTATACATTGCAATGGCCACGTTCCCACTGAGAGAATGTGACACACCCACGAGCGCTGTCTGAGCGTGATCAAAGCCCAAACACGTCAAACAGCGCTCGCGCCCATCAGCTGACTCTATCAGAATACCGCACTCAGGAATACACGGGCAGATCGTCTTTAAAAAGACGCGTCTTTAAAAAGACGTGCCGCGTGCACACTCTTTCAGTGTGAGGAGAAAACTCAGCGGATGTTGAAGCGACCAGGGAGAGACACACTGGCAGACCACTGCTCAGATCGCAGGCAATGTGAAACTCGCTGGATACCGCCGTCACACCAACACCAGAAAGTTTGCTCGTCTCGAAGAGATGAGTCACAGTAGTAAACTATGATTGTGTGGCTTGTGGAGTGAAGAAGTTCTCTTGGCTCCGAAGCGAAAACATACTGCGGTTGCATCCGCTTCCTCCTTTTATACTCACGAGGTGGCGGAGATACCCTATGCAAATTCCGCAGACCCATGGTATTTTCATGCCATTGGCTCATTTTTTAATACTCGAAGAGGATTGGCTTTCTATGCGAAACCCCCATTCTACGTCATCCGACGTAACTCGTGACTACGAAAGGGAACATAGCTTCTTATTGTATATAATAAAATTGCCGCATTTTGTTGTTTTTTACAGCAGTAGAATACTGTAATACAGAGTAGAACAATTATCTGCATTAGAAACAATGACCAAAGAACAAATTATACTTTCTTAGAAAAATCCACAATTAAGGCACCAGGATTACAACTTTATATAGGCCTATATGACAGTTTTGGGGATTTTGGATTGTTTGTTTTGCATCAGCATTTTCTCAGAGCTCTGACTAATTAATGTCATGAAGCTCTGGTAGCTCCTAGTAGCTCTCGTAGAGTAACTGGAGATATGTCCACCTGAAACAAGTATAGTCCTACAGGTATTTTTTTTCCAGATTATTCCCACAAACGCATCTCCTGCTTTCTTTCATGGCATGATTAATTTTATTAAAACATAGAATTAACTCTGGAAAGATAGTTGTGATATGACGTGACAAGGGCAGCCCTGCTAGTAGTTACAGTGTGTCCCTTAATCATGAAGAATATTGTTTCTTTATATCGGCTACGCACACTCACAAACTGACTGAACGCTGTGTTGATGTGTGTGCACACCAGTCACGTGTGATGATCGTTTGAAAAAAGTCTGGATATCATATTTGGTGCGCGCACCCTCGCGCAGCGGCACTGCAGGAGAGTGTGGGATGCGCCTGTGGTCTGGATTCTCCTGCTATTAAAAAAGATCGCTATATCATCACATTAAGTTGATAATTAAGTGCAGACTAAAACAGCCCTTGAGTCTGTGAGTTTAATTCTCCACGTGTCTAATGTCGTTCAAGAGGATTCACGAATGGACCAATGAGCAAACACTAGACTATGTGCAGGTAGTACTCATGGGAGTTGTAGTGTCATAGTGTCAAATTGCAATTTGTTTGTTGTCAGATGTCTTTTGACAAGACTACAATTTTTCAACATGCCAAAGTGGCTAGTGAGAGTGACTGTTCCCCACCACGGGTGAAATCCACCCGCATTTGGCGGGTTGGCGGGTGTTAATGTCAAGTCCTGTTGGTAATACTTTGTCACAATAAGCCAAGTTCACACTACAGGATTTTAAGCCCGATTTATGCCCGAATCAAATCGTTGAGCTCGCGGTCAGGTCAGGGTGTTATCGCGTGCAAATCGCGGGGGATTAGCGTACGATGAACGCCTGCCAATCTGTTAGTATGAAAGAGTCAACAACGCAACAAAAACGCTCGCAGACGCGTCGCCGAGCCCAGAAAAATATCTAGCCTGCTAGATATCCAGAGCCGTCGCGCGACTCGACCTCAGTGATGTCATGAGTACAGCCAATCATAGCAACGCATGGGTTGAGGACACCAGGTAAATCTTACTTTTTCTTTTTTGCATTTTTTTTTTCTCAGAGCAGATCGTCGCGCAAACAGTGTGCAGCACTAGTTTCTGTCTGACGTCCATATTCGCGTGTTGTGTTCTTCTCTGCAGTTTCGCGTCATTTCTGGTTCGTTTTATTGCGTGGTTTTTCGTGACAAAACATGGTAGACAAGATAGATCGTTGGGTGACAGAGTTGTTGTCAACTCGTTATTTATTTGATTATTTTCAGGATTTAGACCGTACCATAGTACTGAAACAGCTCTCATTGAGTCACAAATGATTGCTCTTATCCTCCGATCGTGGTTGTATCTCTATGTAGTGCGTTGTCAACTCGTGTAGTGAGTTACCTCTTGTGGATCAATCACGTTGTGTTGTGTGGTGTGAACAGCTAAACAACTTGAATGCTCCTGATTTCTCTGAGAGCATGTCATGTAGTGTGAACCGCACAGTTCAGCCCGATGTTTTAAAATCATGTAGTGTGAACAAGGCTTTAGTTGCATTAATATTTACAGAGATACAACTTTTGATTTTATTAATGTATTAGTATGTTAAATGTTAAAATTATCATTAACTAAGTTTAATAAATGCTTTAGAATTATTTTCATTATTAGTCCTTGTTAAAGGCACACTATGTAATTTGTCGCCACTAGCGATCGTTTATTCATAACAAAGGCGTAGCTTGATGACGCCATGATTTTGCGGAATCATGGGAGTTGTTGTCTTAAACTCCACAGCCGGTGGAGAATACTACAGGACTCGGGCAGAAATCATATTTATGGATGACCGGTAATATATTGAAGATTTATTGACGTTACGAAAGCTGTTGGAGCAAAACAAGGCCGCTGGAGTGATTGCTAATGAGAGACAATCACAATAGCTCAAGAGCAGTGGATCTTTTATTATGTATTATTCACACTGCAGTGAACTAAGTCAATATTAGGCAAGGTAAAAATGGTACTCTCTGTTAATAAAGAAAATTATTTAAAGAAGATTTAAACAAAAAAGACTATTTTGAGATGTATAACAATGATTAGTTTTATGTCGATGAATGTATCAAAACAGTTTCTCACCTGTCTAATAAAACGCATAATACATTAAAGCATCTTTGGTGTTTCCATGGTTTCTACAAAATAAAAACAGAAATTGAGGGTAATGCGGGTATGATGTCATTGATAGGCGACTCGCGGACACGTTCCATGTCCTGATTAAAACGTTTATTTCTCTGGATTTAAACATTCTTAGAAACATTTGGGATAAGGTAAGTACACAAGTCAACAAAATATATAACATTATTCTCGTGGTTTTGGGATATTTTGATCTAAAAATCTTACATAGTGTGCCTATTGTACTACTATTGTAGTTAACAAATGTTATTCCATGATCTGGGGGAATACACGATTCTGACTGGCTGCAGGGTATCCATTAAAATGTGATAGAGGGCACCTAGTAAAGGAGTTCTGGTGAATCTGACTGTTTACCGTTCAAATTTAATTTAATTGATTTTGGAGTGTTATTTGATCCACTTTATGTGCACTTAAGTGGCCTTTTATTTCATTAATAGTATCTCAGGGCAGCCAACTTTTGAGTTTAGCTTGGAGTGAGAATTATGGAGGGGGGGGGGGGGGGGGTTGAAATTGCATCACAAACAATAAGTCTAGCCTGTTAATGATACATGTTAATTTTTCTCAAGAAAGATAATCTCACCTAATTCTGTAAGCATAGACTACAGAGAGCCCTGTCAGCTGGTATAATTAAAGGTTAAAAATAACAACTCAAATTTTAAGTTTACCCCTTTCCATGATTAAAAAACACTGATTGGATCGATATTATGTATGAGGCATGTACATTTCGGTAAGTTGTACGGTATCTTTCAACATTCCTACTGAGAATTTTTGTGTTTACTATTATATTACTACTCTATTTACTATTAACTAGGCTAGAAAAGAGAGATGATCGGTTCATGTGCCGTTTGAACTGAGACGCTACAGCGATCCGTCACATTTAAAAGCCAAAACAGCATTTATTGTTTGAATTTTGTAATAAAATTGACAGAATCTGAGAGCTGAAAATTTGTTTCATATCAAAAGTAACCTGCTCTGTCTTGTCTGTCGGTGTCCTCTTTGGTGTGCATTTTTTCTTTGCATGAGAAAATGGATGTGTGGCGTGAGAGTTTGTGAAAAGAGCCAATTGCATGAGTCTCATGCTGAATGAGTGAGAGTTGGCAGCTCTGGTATCAGCAAATACAGTTTGCTTTCCTTTTTCTTTTTTGCTTTTAAGATTTGAAGTATGCTACACAAGTGCACATTCAATACAATTAAGAGCACTTTTTTCACAGATGTGTTATACTTGTCAGTAAGGGGTTATCTTCAAATGTCAGCCCTGTCACCATGATTGTGTGTAGTGAATAATTAAAAAGTTTATATAAATATCAGACCTGAACTGTCAAAAGTTTCACGTCAAAATGTGGCTGTCAAAAGTTTCAAAGCTACTACTACCATCTACACCCTGTTATCTTTCTGAATTATGTCCAACATACATTAACATTAACATTCTTAATAAATCTTTATTAAAAAAAGGTAAATGAATGCACATAATGGATCTGATAGAGATTTCACCTGTTTCTCTCTGTCTCTCAGGATCAGTACCAGTTTTGTTACAGAGCCGGGTTGGAGTATCTCGGGAGCTTCGACCACTATGCAACATAAGATCTTCGTCACGCTGTCAGGGAGACGGATCGGCCATCAGACATCCAGCGGTCATTTAATTCTTCTGAGCCATAAATACCTGCTTGTGAAAAGAACTTAAACTCTTCGATTACATGTTGGATGTGCAACGTAAACCTAGAAATATTTAAATGACAATAAAAGACAAATATCCAGGTGGACCAAGAAAAATCACCCCGATCTGATTTCAAAAAGTGAATAATGAATAAATAAATAGTAATAGTAATAATAATAATAATAATAATAATAATTTCAGACAGGTGAATCTAGACTGATGAAGCATCACGCAGAAATAATGGTTGCTTCAAAGATTCATGAACACAAATCATAAAGGAACATTGTGGAGTCAACGAATGCAGAGACGCTGTGAGACGGGGAGCTCAACACACATTGTAAAGAGAGTTGGTTTTGTTCCACAATCAATACGAGGAGATACGTCACAGATGAAGAGAGGAGACTTCATCACAACCATCATCATCATAAAAGAAAACTAAACAAACGGACAGAGCTGAAAGTAATAACTATCGGTAGGTTAGATGTCTGGAGAAATTACTGTACACAAATAACACTGCTTTTGGTTTAAGTTCTGTGACTGTTTCTTTTTCTTTCTTTTTTTCAAGGACAAATCAGTTCAAACTGACTGTATTATTTTTTAAACAATGTTTCTTTTTATTTTATTTTTTTCTGATGTCCTGATGTTTGCACCTCTGTGCCCTCCTTTTCATTGTTTTGCCGAAGGTTTGTGGCATTTTGTTTTGTGAACACACATACACACACACACACACACACACACACTGAATCATGGGGTGGGCAGAGTATAAAGGTTAGAAGATATCTCAGTTCTTCCAGAGAGAGATATTAATAGAGATGTCTTTATTTATATAACGTTGAAATGTATATTCACAAAACATGACTAAAATGCGAGGATATATAGATATATAAATATAATAATATATGGAAGTGATGGTGAGTTTCTGTACATCCGTTGGAGGAACGATTTCCGCTGGAATGCACATCAGAAGGATGGACAGACGGACACAGACCACGTTTAACGCATCTTTTCTTGTGCAATAAATCTGTGTTTTACAGCCAGAGGGTTCGATTCTCGTTTGACGAGGACGGGGTGATTGTCGTCATATTCACAACCTCATAGGTCAAAGGTCATCATTGTGCATCTGTTAGGCCATAAGACATCCATGTGTTCATTCTTTTGCATTTAGAGTGCCTTATATTTATGCCTGTTCTTTTTTATGATATTCATTTAACAATGTGTATAGTTTCATTAGTTCATGTATGACTAGAGTATTTATCGATTGATTTCCCTCACGTACGGATTTATATTGTATGAAATTATATATGCAAATACGTAATTCCATCATTACTGTTTAATTTTCTGTGGCCTTAATTAGTCACAGAGAAGAAGAAAAAAACAACATGTGTACGAAAAGAAAGAAAAGCGTTCGATAACCGCCAGGCCCGATACTGTTAAATCATTTCTTTTGTATTACTCATTATAAACTTTTGAGTTCCCAAATGGCACAAGCAGAATCCTGGGAAAAATTAATGACTTTCTGTCTTTTTAAAGGCCAAGCTTTAGCATCAAATGTCCCGTCATCTTTGCAAATTTTCTGCAGTGGAAAATGAACCTCAAAACCTCTTGTTCAAAGAACCAAGTTATTCTGAAAATCCTGAAGAGCTCTAGGCGATAAGCTACAAAGTATTTTAATGTGCAAATTCTGAGACAAGAATATTATTATTTTACACTTTACAACCTCACTGGCTTTGTGGATGTGCATTCCAGATGCTTTTTCCCCAGTTCCCCCTCCCCCTCTTTCTTGTTTAGAATAGATAAAGCGATTTGTTATCAGTCCGAAATTAATGTTTTTGCTTATTTTGTTGTTCATTTCAAATGTTTTCATTGTCTCACTTGAGTCACAATGTCGAGAAACAAGCAGCTGTTGCATAGCCTCATGCAACTGTCAGCGCCACCTAGTGTTCATCGCTTCAATGTGAAATCTGTTACACATCAGCTTTTCTTTCACTGTTCTGGATCTTATTTGAATATGCATGAGTTCAACTGCAGTGGGGGCGAGTAGGAAGAATTGCACTTTGTATCTCTTTATCTCTATGCACTGCCCTACTGATTCTGCACCCATTACAGATTTTACTTGAACCGAACTGTACGAATCTCCTTCAAACTTCACTGGGTGTGTATGTAAATAACACAGAAAAGAGACTACCCAAGTAAAAAGAGAAAAAAGAAAAGAAAAAAAAAAGATTAAAAAAAAGCTAATCGGTTGCGAAAAGAGCATCTTTAGCAGGTGATTACTAAGTGTCACTTCTTCCCCGTTCAGCCGGTTGAAAGACTGAAGCGTCACAAACGCAAACGTGCACGTGGTGTTTCTAAGCTCCCTGTTACTCTCACATCTGGATGCATAGACTGAAAGTAATTCAATTCAGTTGTAAAGAAAAAAATGGCTTGTTAAAAAAATAATCATAAAATTACCTCTAATTAGTTGTAAATGTAAAATGTTTTTTGATTTGATTTTTTTTCCTCTGAATGAATGGAGTGCTTTTTATTTTCATACTTAGATGACATTGGTGAAAAGACACATCTGTACGAGAAGCCGTCCTTCTGTACTTTGCTGACACAAGTTCCATTTGTTATAAATGAATTCTATTAAAAAATGTAAGTGTTATGCATATGCGTTTCCTTCCTTCTCTCCTCTGGGCATGGCTGATCAATGGGACTAAATTGCTCAATACTTCAACACTGCTATTGGGTAAAAAAAAATCACAGTGGTATTTTTATTTTTATTTTATTAGTATTAGGTCACAGTTTTCAGAAAATCCTTCTGACACATTCATGATTTTACTGTGCATATCTACATTTGCATTCTATTGGGTTTTTCAGTTAAGCATGGTTTGATGTCAGGATGGGGGGAGGGGGGTGAATGGTTTAAACCAGAGCTCCTTCCACAAGAGAACCTATATGCATTGAAATCTGGTGTGGCGAACATCACCAAGATCCTGTTAACTGCCCTGTTGGTACAGTTCTTGATTTCTTGCAAGACCGTTTCTCTGCTGGATTATCTCCTACCTTAAAGGTTTACGTGGCGGCTATATCGACCTACCACACCTCTCTGGGGGGTACTTCTATCTAATTACTAGTTTTTCTCTGTGGTACATGAGGTTGAAACCTGCACTGCACTCAGAGCACCGGCTTGGGATTTGGCCATTGTACTTGAGGGTCTGGCTTTGGCTCCCTTTGAGCCCATTGAAGAGGTTTCAGAAAAATTCCCCACTTTGAAGACATTTCTCCTTGCTGTTTCATTTACCGGAGATTAGGAGATTTGCATGCCCTGTCTGTTGCTCCTTTATGTCTGGAATCTGCACCGGGTATGGTGAAAGCATTTCTATACCCTAGACCGGGTTATACTCCTTAGGTCCCAGTTTATTTTTGGGGGCCTTATAGTGCTGCAGGCCTTTTATCCTCCACCTTTTAATACCCCAGATCAGGAACGATTGAACCTGTTATGTCCAGTTCGGGCATTAGATGCCTACGTTCACAGAGCTGCCCTGTGGCGTAAGTCTGAACAATTATTTGTCTGCTTTGGGTCACTCAAGAAAGAGTGTTACCAAAAAGTCTTATAATCCTCACCACTGGCAGTTTCTGGGCCCACCAAGAATATTCTCACATAGACATAAAAACTCACACACATTCTGTGTTTTTTGTTAGACCTACATGTACACTAAAGTTGAGTGTTAAGTGTGCATACTTATCATTAAGGAAGTTTGTTCTATTATACTAATTTACACATACAACACACACACACACACCTGAGTCAAAAAGAAAGTGGATTTAAGTTAAGGTCAGTCACAGAGAGAGGCATTGTTTTGGATTGTTCTTATGGATTATTTCAATAAACCTATTTTTAAGCATATTGCATAATGTGGGCTATTTTTGCTCTTTTTGTTTAATTGTTACAATTTATGTGTTACATATCCCTGTACTGGGGTAGATTTTAACACGGGCACACCATACATTTTACATCAACTCATAATGACTGTGATATTCTTGTGTTTGAATTGGTGGTTTTTGTATTAATCAAACGTGGATGCTTTTTACGTTTGAGCACTCATTTAAAAATTACAAAGTATTACAACCATACCTTAATTGTTTACCCTATATCAAGGAATAGGCTAGGCCTGCTATTTATTTATTTATTTAGGGTAGCCTATGCTAAAGTATACTTGTATGTGCATTCTGTTGATGTTAATTTGGCTCCATCACACTCATGAAGCTGAAGTCAGTTTAGATTAAAGAGTCATGTGATGTTGTGTTCGGTAATAATTCTGTGAATCTCTTTCCACCTGAGCACTGCAGCCCCGGATAAAGCCTTGCCATTCGCTTTGACCTCCGGGCACCGGGTGTCGATTATTCCAGGCTGGCAACAGCAAAGACTTCATCAGCCTAATCAAAATAAATCACCAGAGCAGCAGAAAGTGAGCGGCGTTAAGCTCTTTGCCGTTTCCCCGGAGACCCGCGGCCTCTTAACGGCAGGCAAATCCATTATAGCGGGAGCAGATGTGGCAAGTCAGCGTTCCAGCGCGAGTCTGGCCGTAGAATCCGCGATATGCAGCTCGACCGCAGTTGACGACGTGATGACCCACGTTTCGGCAGTGACCAAACAGCTATAATGAGAAAAGTGGGTTTCTATAGAATTGTGTGTGGAAAATCGAGAGGGAACTTCAGTTCCTATTCCCAACAGCGAGAATCTGCCTTTAACTCAAATAAGATGTCAAATGCTGATCTTTTTTTATTTCCAGTGACAGTTAGAGGTGGTTTGGAATTTTGGATAATTTCAGCTGGCTATATAGCCGGTCCTGCTGGAAACCTATCAGGGTTTTTCTAGAAGCATGGACAGAGTATTAATTAGAACTGCTGTGATGTGATGAATACCGCAGTCTACTGGTTGCAGAAGCACTCATGGATTGTGTGTTTGAAGAGCTGCGCATGTTTGATCATGTGACACTGAATGTAAATTTGACTCATACCTGCCTACTGCATATCAAAATCAAACAGCATTCACAACCTAGAATAATCTGAAGTATATCCCCAGCGAACAAAAGTATTCAAAGTTATTTTATAACTTTTACATGAAGTTATGAAAACCTTATTTCTGAAAGTTCTTTGAACGTTCAAAACATCCGTTTTTAAAAAAATGTTTCTTTTTAAAGAGCCCCTATCATAGCATTTGAAATGTTCCTATTTTTTTGTTTTAGGAGTTACCAAAAACAGTTTAACATGCATGCAAGGATAAAAAACACTTTGTCTTATAATATGCATTAATTTTTAACTGATTTGCTCACCGACTCCCAAATGATTCGTACAACGATGCATTTTTCCAAACCACTCCTTTGCGTGACGCTAATCGGCAGTTATTGGTCAGATGACAGACCCAGTCAGTTATTGTTTGTAAGCATAAACATATTGATAAAGCACTGCAGTACTACAAGACGCTCTATTCTTTATGACAACTCCAATAACAGCGACAAACATTTCACATATTTAAAAAAAATTGACATTGGAGACCTAGAAGCTGCGCTGAGCATAACTTACACACACACATACGCACACACATACTTATTGCGCCTTCCATCCTCGCACCTGACACTACAAAACCGTTCAAAACCCATAAAAGCAACAATTATTAATAATACTTACAGGTTGTGATTCATAGGAGGAAGCTGATCCATATACACTGGGTAAGTAAGTTACTGAGCCCTCCTTCAGGAACAACCGCTTGTGAATCCACATTTGAATTCATTTATGTTTTTGAACAATTAGTTAAAATGATGAGAACACAATCGGGCTATTCTGTTGTGGTATCGTTGCAAATATGAACTCTAACCACCGATTCTTCACATGCTCGTCCCTGGTAAATGAAAACAAAGTGGCTGAACTGTAATGTATTGACTGCCTATTGTAAGAGTGAGGTTCCTTTAAGAGGCTAAAAAGCCCGAGGAGGGTGTGGCTGTTCCTGGGGGGGAATATGTGTTTTGTGGCCAGTGTGTTTCCTGGAGTTGACCAAGCTAGTCTATGTTATATGCTACATTGAGTTCAGAAAAGACTTACAAGATTACGAACGTCTCCTCATGTTCTTCAAAGATATAACACTGGCGACGAGCGGACTTGAACCGACTGTGTGCCGATAAATCCATATGATGCGACGTTGAAAGTAAGTGAGTGAAAATAATCTGCATCGGAAGCGAACATGGCTACACTCGGCCGTATAGAAGAGTTTGATGAATGTTCGAGTAACTCTTTTGAAGAATACACAGAACGACTGGAATGTTATTTTCATGCAAATGATATTGAGGATGATGCGAAACAATGTTCCGTCCTACGTTCCGTGTGTGTGGTGCAAAAACGTATTCCACGTTACGTTCAGTGCTTGCTCCAACGCAGCCCTCTACTGTGTCTTATGCAAACATTGTCGCTGCCTTAAAACGCCATTACAGCCCAGCGCCATCAGAGATTGTTCAACATTTTCATTTTCACAATTGTAAGCAGAAATCTAATCAAAGTATTTCAAACTACATTGCTGAGCTTCGACGTCTGTCTGTGCACTGTGCTTTCGGAGATCAGTTAGAAGCAATTCTGCGTGACAGAATCGTGTGCGGGGTTATGGATGAAGCGTTACAGCGACGCCTGCTGGCTGAACCTACACTAACATTTAAAGAGGCAGAAGAAAAGGCACTGGCTGCTGAAACAGCATTGTTAAATGCTCGCCTGCTTCGTCAGCATCAAAATGAATCACGGCTGGAGGAAGATGTTTATTATGCAGCCCATGCGCAGGCATCAGTTCATAAGACTGCAACTTCCAATGAAAATCCTAAACGTGACAAGCCATGCTTCAGATATGGTGGTCAGCACATTCCTCATGTGTGTTTAACAAAGACTAAACATGATCCTGACAGGGATGCAGCCAGCACCACAGCAGAACGGTACACAAACATTATAACTCACAAAGAGCAAGATGATTATTCCATTTACAGCACCACTAATAAATCAGAAAGAGGGGGCCACTGTTATACTAAACAAACATGCACACACAATGGAAGTGGATTCAGGAGCGGCCTGTTCCTTGATTAGTGAACACACCTACCACTCATTGTGGCCCTCCCAACCCCCTGAAATACATGCCAACAATGGAATACTTAAGCAGTGGTCACAGGCAACCTTGGAAGTGAAAGGGAAAATATTTGTGGAAGTGACATACAAAGGAACACGAAACACACTGCCTTTGTTTGTCATCCAGGGCCAGGGAACTAGTCTGTTGGGACGGGACTGGTTTCATGCCCTGGGAATATCAGTGGAAGGGGTACACAGGGTAAAGCTGCAGTCCATGGAGAAAATACTGGCTGAATACTCAAAGGTTTTTCAGAACATTGGGGTTTGCCGGACCCCCCGATTTCCATTGACATTGATTCCACAGTTACTCCACGTTTCTTCAAAGCCCGCCCTGTTCCTTTTGCTTTACGACCCCAGCTTGATGAGGAGTTGGACAAATTGGTGGCTCAAGGAATGTTTGAACCTGTTCACCATGCAAAGTGGGCCACACCTATAGTGGCCGTAGCAAAAAAGATGGGGGCCTGAGGATTTGCGGTGATTACCGCTGTACTGTGAATACAGCTGT